ATGTACGGGAAGATATTAGTCACAAAATGTAAGGGAAGATATTAGTCACAAAATGTACAGAAAGACATTAGTCACAAAATGCAAGGGAAGATATTAGTCACAAAATGTACGGAAAGACACAAGTCACAAAATGTACGGAAAGACATTAGTCGCAAAATGTAAGGGAAGACATTAGTCAAAAAATGTACGGAAAGACATTAGTCACAAAATGTAAGGGGAAACATTAGTCACAAAATGTACGGAAAGACATAAGTCACAAAATGTAAGGGAAGACATTTGTCACAAAATGTACATAAAGACATAGTCACAAACACAACGTCTTAATACATTCGTTTGATTTTGTCTGTATATTACATCACATCATGTCATCACTTCAGTTGTAAAATAAACAGTTCAAAATGGATCGGTGTTGGGTTCGTTTCTTATAGAAAAATACATAAATAGAGAATTGTATAAATTGCAGAAATGATATTCGATTTTTCCCCTTTGTTGTTATATGTATTTTCCTTGTCTGATTTTTAAATATCTTCGCGGTCCAAGACAGATTACAAATGATAAATAGAATTGGATAAAGATAGAGGGAATAATGAAGTAAATACCTCAGGAAACAAAAAAAAAACAGTCATCAAAAGAGATACTTAATGTGTCCATGAAGAATAAGGAAAACAACGATTTATTATCAAAACATTGAAATAAGGCAACACATACAAAGCCAGATGGTAATCTGATGTTGATTAATACCAGGAACTTTTAGATCGATGTGTAAGTGTTTGAGCGCAATACTGTTTGAAACTACATGTCGGAAAACGATTATTTTGTTGTCACGCCGTCTGTCCCAAACATTGGCAATAAAAGGAAACTTGAATTTTTTAGACATTTTTATTTCATAACAACAATTTTGGAAAAAATCGTAATACAAACTGGTTAAACGAGACGTAATAATGAGAAAATTACAGATTTTCATAGAAAACATTGAAAAATGTTGGAATAAAACCAGGTGTTTCGAAAGCGTATGCGTCTTCTACTTCTTGTCAAACAATGAAGTAATGATACTATCTTGGATGAGAGCGATGTTAACAACGATGAAAACATCATGTATACAGGCGGATATACAGTTGTAATTTCATATCGCACAGGAAATGAAATATTTCCCGATGATATCGTATAATTACGGACAAAGTCTTCATCAAATTTCATCTCTCAAATCCCAGTTTGATACATTGTACATGTGTAGGTCAGCTACTAGCATATTTTATGACCGAAAATCCTGATATTGGGAACAAGCCCTTGACTACAGAACCCAATTATGACTTGTAAATATTATAGATTGTGGAAGTGGGTATATCACTAACAAGAATGAAACTTTCACAAGAAGGAAATCAAAATCATTAGGCTTTTCATATAACTTAATATAAAATATAACATATCACAAACACATCACTGATATCACTGGTGACCAAGGATGTCATTTCAATAGTCTGAATAAGAAACATCAAATTGTACAGAGAGGGGTTTCAGTAGGCACTGATAAGTGCCCTGTGTTGCTTTAATAGATCTCTAATGGCTGGATTCTCTGGGTCGTTATTCTCCCGACAAGATGCGCGGTCGATAGTACCATCTTATTTATATCCTATATTTCTTGCAGGCCACTTATAAAAGATCAGTTAGTAAAACGTGTTTGGTTCGACGATCCAGATTCTGGCAGTTTGTGTTTCTCTTGCCAGGTGTGAAGCGGGCCAATCTGACGTGGCTGTGTCCCTGGGGAAGACCCTCTACCCTAATCACAATAAATGACATGCGTCGGTCCTCCTGTATGTTGTTTAGTGAGGAATCCACCAGGTACTACAAGGATAGTCCGCCTCAAAATGACACTGTTCACCGTACAATCAACCTAGCAATATGTAAAAACATCTCTTTTGTTCTTATTTTGCCTTTTTTTCATCGAACTTTGATTAAGATTCTTTGTCCTCTCGTTTGATTGGTTTTTAATCAAAATTTTTTACACCTCAGCTCAGTTTTGAGAAATTTTATGAACATTATTTGGTCTAAACCAAGAACAGGTCACGGGAGATAAAGCAAATATTTATTTAATTTTTATTTTTATTTTTTTTTTTATTTTATAAATTTTGTAGCGACTGTAATGTAAAATATTTTTGGACGAGTCAGGCATATTTTTTTTTATAGTTTTAACCTTTGGTATATCACGGATGCAATAGCTTTATGGTACATCTTTTCTGCACTGGCAAAAAATCCAAATATTCAAAAAGTTCGTACTTTCATTTTTTTTCCAATCTGTATTAGATATAAAGCAGATAGGAAATTCCATTAGACATTAAAGCTATGAGAAATTGAATTTCATTTCATTTAATGTAAAATGTTAAAATGGCGCAGTTTCAGGAGGTATAATAAAGTTCAATCTCGATGCTATAAAGTATATATATCTGATCTGTTTCCCCGACACTATACAATTATCTGTTATCTTCAATTGAAATCACATATGTTTTGTCTTCACTGAGAATTGATTTCATTGAGGCATAAATCGGGGGCGGACTTGCTCTCCTAAAAAAAAATGACCCGACAGAAAGAACTCTGGTCGAAATGGTCATACCGGTGATGCTGTTGAAACGCTGTCTGTTTTTTAAATGTGCTTATTTTGGTTCAGCGTGTGTCGAACTCGGAACGATATGACAGCGGCAGAAATTTGCGCTCTCAAAAGTAGTAGAAAACCCATAGGTACTAGCCTGGTCTGTCTGTACACTCATTTGTCTACCGAATGAGTCTGCTGGCAGGCGAAGCTAGTATCCGTGAAAAAAATATATATAAATAAGAAAAACAAAGTTTTTTTCCTTTCTCGTTTATTATAAAGCTGTTCTTTAGTCAAATATGGTCTTATGTACAAACATTTACATATATTACACAAATCTATATTTATCCAGAGACGTATATAATATACACGTCTCTGATTTATCGTACAATTTACAGTTAACAACACACATGCAGGGATTTCCCCTTATCAACTAATTCTCCTGCAAATAAGATAAGATGATGTTAAAAAAATTCTGTTAATTAAATATACCCTAATTAATTCATAATTAAAAGTTGATGTCCTCTTATTAAGAATATTGGATATGGAAATTGAAAATTTATTTAAAAATAAAACTAGAAAGTAAATGAGTCTGATTTTTGGAACTTCCTGGAATATTGAAAACCTTCCATAGATGTTAAATTTAAATTTTCAATCGACAGGGGAGTAAACATATCTTAGCAGGCGAACATACCAGTATTTGTAAATGTGGATGATGTAACTTTTAAAATTGTACAAGTTTCGATTTTTGACAAGTTTCACATTAAATGTCACAAAAAATGTTTCATGAAATTTTCTAGAAATGACACGGTTGCAGTAGTATATAATTTACACAACAATTCTATGAACAATGATGAATTTGAGAATACATATTAAAATGAGATAGTTATCTGAAATGGATTTCTATACAACAATGGCGCTTATCAAATGCACGCCTCCTGTATGAAATGAAATGTTTCATTTAACATTAATTAAAAAAAGCACAGATTTAAAAATACAGAAATATTGATTAAGAAATGAAAATGTTGTCTCTGAGTTCCTACGTGTGTTGTACCATCATATTACAAATCAAAACATTGTAATTTGAAATAAAGAAAACAATTTTGCGGTTTAATAATGCATTCTAAAAGCAATGAATATAGAAAGGGAACACTAGAAACCCTAACAGACAAAGTAAGTTTTCAATGTATTACCATATTTACTCAAATTACACACAAAATTATTGCCAAAAACAAAAACTAAGAATTCATCGGAAATAACTTATATATTTATCACAAGACTGCCTTGTTTTTCAATAAATATGCTCATATACTACTTTTGAGTGTTACCAAAATGTAACCTGTTGTAATGTCACGTTTGGTTATAAGGAAATGATATCATACACACATTCACAGATTGCGTTGTGTGGTAACAATTTGTAGACTAACGATAAAGAGCCAAAATGGCTTCAAATTTGACTTTTTTAAAAATAATATTTGCCTGAATAATCTATCATGTGATTAAAAAAATTTAAAGTTTGTTTCCATTTAATATTATAAATAAAATTTATTTTTTTTCTACTTGTATAATAAATCACAATGCAGATGGAACTGGTTAAACGGTCCTACACATGTATACAGAGAATGGGCTATAAGCTTCCACACTAAGCAATTCAGGGTAAGTTTAGAAAGTCTCATATCTGACGGTGAAAATTGGTATGTATATAATCAGTGAAGAATGATATTCCTCCTCATGCACACGACATCTAATATAGCGACTCGTTCTATGTTCTGAATTCTAGTACCTTAAACCAACTACTACAGCTATATTGTATAAAAGTATTACATTCTGTAGATGACAGCGAAGCAAAGAACTGTTCATTTCAAAGGAATTGTACTTCATATTTTTCTTCTACAAATGTGAATCCATGACTTTCCGTTTTGTCTTTGATCCACAATATCTCTCAACAACACTTCTAAATAAACGACACATAAGTGTTTGTTTAATAATGCTAGTTTTTAAGTTATATACACATTTGCTCACTTACAATCACTTATTTCTCTGAAAAACATCTTTTCTAACTCCGTTGTAAGCAATTTGAGATACCATTTATATGTTGAATAACAAAGATATTGACTGATTACTGTAAAATAACACATTTAGTGAGGGTCAATTTTCATGGTTTTCCAAAAGATTTGTTTTCACATCACTTATAATTTGTTAGCTGAATTTTCATGTTCATATCCCTCACAAATTTAAAATTATATTGCATCTTTCTTTTTTAAATGTTTAAGCAAACAATTCATTTCTGTAATGGAAATTAAAAAATTGTTACAATACAAAATTTGGAATTTAAAAAAATTTGAAATTGCAGTATTGAAATATGTACATTGTTTTTTGAAAATTATATTTAATGAATAATTCTTCTTGGGTCCTCTTATATTAAATATCATCTATTGCAGTTTCTTGGGAAATCTTAAATGATTACACATTCCTACAACGTCCAGTTTCATTGTCCAGGCTATCGAAACCCTAACAATATACATATATATATCCCCCTGACTATAGAAGTATATTTGTCCTTTTGTCGTGTTTTGTCAGTTGTCCGGTGAGATTCAGGTTACACAACACGTTTTGATCTTCGTTTAGGGGCAGATATGTTCCTTTTGATAAATATTCCTTCGTCTCCGTGACTCTTCTTGCTTTTTGTCGATTTCTTCGTACGTCGCTGTCTGGACACAAAGTCACTATCAGCATCACTGGACTGAAATTTAACAGAAAATACTGCAATAATCTATTTTATTTCTTTTAAAAAAAGTTTTTGTTTCAATTTATTTAAATTTTGATTATTCAATTTATTTTTATGATATAAAAATGTTACAGAGTACTGCACAATCATAAAGCTTTTATCATTTAATGTTTGGTGGACCTACAAGATACAAAATGTATTGGTTGATATGCCCATACTGCTTTCAACACAGAAACTGAGCAATCCTGTTTTGTTTATACACACCAAAAGCAAAAGCAATACACATGACGTTTATGTAAATATGCAGACCTTTATGTTTGGTTTTCAAAACCGTTTTTATTTGTTTTTTTTATAAGCAAGAGGGACAATGTAGCAAACATGCCCAAGTAATCTGTAAGATATCAAATTGTAAAATTGTTCTTTACGAAATATTCAAATTAAATTGAAACTTTAACCCGATATACTCTAAACAAAAGTAGAAAAGTGGGTTTTAGCAATTGTCTCCAAAACTGTTCGATATCTGAACCAAGTTTTGAGGAATTTGATAAAGATGTCTAGATGGCTGTACGGGACTCCAACATTTTCCAGTCATAGCATTTTTGATATCATAGTGTACTATACTCTTCAAGAGAATCCCTGAGACAAGATTTAAACATCAAACTTGAAAAAATTCCTCCAATACAAAGCTACATACAGATAATTTTGGTCACGCTACATTTTTTGTCATTGATTTTATAGAAAGGAATTTTTTTTACAATCATGAGGTTTTCATGAGCTTTCTGAGTGAGCCCTGTGAAATGCTGTTAAAAAACTATTTGTTAATGTCATTCCTAAATCAGTCTGCGAGACATCAATCTCAATTACAGGGATTTGTTAGTCAATGTAAAAGATATGTAAACAAATTGAAAGAGGTAAAACGAGAAAACAGAATCTCTGAAAGGTTTTAAGTTTGTTAACATAATATAATTATCAACTAAGGTAGAAAATTGATATATACACTTTCTAAATCACCAACGTTATGGAAAGGAAAAAATGGCACCATTTGAAGTCAAAACCGATCTGAATTATAGAAAAGCAGTGCAAAGGCAACATTTGTCAATGCTAGATCTATTGTATAATGCTGTTAATATCTAAAGGATATATTTGTATATGTCATATTGAACATTGGACAAAACAGATACCAAATGGTACCATAAAGTGTTCATGTAAGAATTCAACTTTTAATTCAAATGATGAAATTTCACAAGGAGAGATGTTCTGATTACACCAAAGTGTAATTAACAAGGCCTGGTAAGTGTAATAGCCTTCTTCTGGTGAAAAATCAAACCTCAGGTTAACCTTGACTGGCATAGGATCAAAGTCAGTCAAATGTTTGTTATTTATCTTTTTTATATGCTTCATGGACTAAATACCTTATGACACATATTTGATAATTGTCAATAAGTTAAAATGTAAATTTCTGAGCAAATCTGTAAAAAAAGAAAGCAGTGCCTCAGCAGGTTTATAATCTGTTTAATTTATTACAACCCGAAAACTTTGTTGTTAATCGAAGATATATTGTGCATCTCTCACAGTGTTGTGCAACCTTAGAAAAGTTCAGTCTGTTAAAAAGATAGGAATGCAGTTTAGGATGTGCATTGAAAAAAAACCCAGAGAAGTTGAAAGTGTTTTCTGTGAAGGAAAGAAGGGAAACAACTCTATATTTGTCATGAATCTAAAGAGGAACCTTTAAACTTTGACCTCTCACCTCCTGCTCTAAATATGTCCTTGAATTGTGAATGTTGATGGCCACATTATCGTTTTCCTTTTAATGAATTTGAAAAAAATATTTATATAACTAAAACATAAAACATTACACATATCAATAAAAAAAATGTTTCCTCGGTTAAAAAAACTCAAAAAATCAGAAACGTTTGAATTTTTTGTTGAATGTAATCAGGGAAGAAATTCAACACTAATCTAAACCAGGTACAATTTTTTATGAACATTAGACCCTATCTAAATGGCATTTGAGTAATCTGACATCCAGACTAATTCCACAAGAGACTGAATAAAGCTGTTATCTTGCGAAATTATCGAATGATATCTGTGCTTATTTACATCCAGTCACAACTGAAAGATATGTCTTTAAATCTCTTAAGCTGGAATCATTTATGAAATCAGAAACTGACATTTAAAGAGGACAATGAAACATGCCGTGTTGTAAGCAAATATTTCTTCATTGCCTATATTCCTTATTTTTAAACTAATGCAGCAGTAGGCAGTAACATCTGTCCATCACTCCTTCATTCAAATGTACTGAAAATCATTGTATTATCATGCTAAATTGATGTTTATTACTATAAAAGTTTTACAATATTTTCTCAGAGTATTGGTCAGAGACAGGAGTTATCTCCCCTGCTGCTATTGCCATGCACTGCCTGAATCTACAGAACAAAATAAGCTAAATTTATGACCCCTAGTCTACCAACTGTACTGAATCTGTCCTTACAATGTGGTGAAGCAGACAAGGATATATCAAATCACATTTTAAAACTTCTTTACAAAATTCCTGAGACAAAAAATAACAAAGAACATGATTTAATCGTCCTTATTCACAAAAGCTAATCAGTGCAAATTAAGACAAAAGGTAAAAATTTACAATCATTTAATTTTGAAAAGTCAAGATAATCTGTATTAAACAATGCAAAGATCATATTTCAATTCAATATAATCTGTTTCTCGAAAGACAATCTGAATATGAAAACATTATTGTGATATATGTATTGAAATCATAGAAGCTGGTAGCACCAGAATACTTAAGTTTACAGCAATGAAATTATCTCCTTAAAATTTATTTTCTTTCTGACAGAATTTGTATCATCTGATTTTTTATTTTCATTTTCTTTCGTATACTGTCACAAGCACTTTTAGAAACTTAAAATTATTTTCTCTTCAGGAACAAGATTATAATTCATAGAAACATTGATTTTTTTTTTATTCTTCAAGAAGTCAGAGGGTTTCAAAACGAAAACTTTGACTCCAGAAGCAGGGATGGACTGACTACAGGATGTTATCAATTTTGTTGATATTTTACAGCTAAAAACTAACCGATGGGCTTATCAGCAGACATGAGTCTATTGTTGTATAGTACAAAATATAAACTTACCCCTGAGTTGTAGTCTCGACTCTGGAGTTGATACTTTAAATCAGCTATCTCGCGTCTATATTGATCGAGCTGTGCCTCAAGCTTCTCCCTTCTCAGTCTCTCATAGTCCAACTGGGCTTCCAGCTCACTGATAGTTCTATTAAGAAAACCCAATAAATGTATTTTCAAAAGTAAATTTACTTACAAACAAATTTAAGAAATTGATATATTTGTTTATAACTTAAGGCTTCCCTATTTACTCATAACTTCAATAAGCACTATTGGTTTTACAGTCCTTTGTATCAGAAAAATTCTTCCATAAGTATTTTCGAGACTTCATGAGATAAAGTTCAACTATTAGTGAATGCAATTCATATCAAAGTTGAAGGTCACTGACTTGTCCTTGTCTCTGATCTCTTGCATTCGTTTGCGGTCTTCTAGTAGTCGTCCACCTAATTGTGTGTAATTCTTCTTCGCAACCTCCAGTAACCTCTCCAGTTCTTCATACTTCTGTCTTGCTCGCCCTGTCAAGGTCAGGCAAAGATCGTGTTTACAGCAACACCAAATATAGGCAAATTGATTTGCAAAAAGTTAAAATATACCCACAGATAAAACTTTTAGAAAACTAAAATTTAAAAATGATAAAGTTCATGAAAATTAAGGTCAAGATTGCATATTTCAAGATGTGAAAATCTTTAAAACGATTAAGGGTAAGAAATACGTTTATAGCTGACATAGAGACCAACCTTAATCAATAGAAAGACTAGTTAAAGAAAGGAAAAGATAAAGAGAAAAATCAAGTAAATAGAGAGAGTGCTAGTTTACGAAAACACCCACAAAAAAACTTAAAAGGCAAAAACAATAACAAAAACACAATAAACAACAATGGAAAGAAAGTTAAGTTGAGCTACAATTGAATGAAAGTTCAGCTTTACAGAAACAGGTATAAGTTGGCCAAAAAACACCAAAACAACAGTTTAGAGTTTAGAGAGAGGCATACTCATTTCTGTAATCAAGATAAATTACAAACAGCCAATGATAATGACAAGATGCTTTTATGAATTAATTTTGATAAAGTATCAAAATTAAACTACTATTCAGGGGTAAGTTTATATTTGGGATTTCTATGAGGTTCATGGAGATTAACGAAAAATCCTGATCAGTAACGGAACTCGTAGTCATTTCTATAAAACGTGTACATCCAGTCTTTTAACAGTCACTTTGCTTGCACACAAAATTTAACACTGTTTCAAATCCATTCTCAGTAAAGCCCTGCATCCTACAGAATGGAGAAATATCTTACCTCGTGACTCTTTGCGTTGTTTATCGGTAAGTAGGACTGAACGGCCCTCTGTGTTTCCATCTGTGATGTCATCCTCGTCTTCTTCTTCCCCGACAACTATCGTGGTTTCTTCCTCTATTCATCAAAATGACTTACATTATATACAAATATATTATTTACATACAAATTTCCTCGTTCTCCCTTCCTCACATGTCACCAGAAAAATGACACTAGTTGTTGAGACAAAGATTTGCACAGTCTGAAAAACTGTAACTTACCAAATCTAAGTTGTTTCTATGCCTGTCACAATAGCCTTTAAGCCTCCTATCTGACCTTTTCATGTATTCCTCTCCATGTATTTCTCTCACTTTCATGCTCTCTCTCCTTTCTTCCCTTTTATCAGTTTCCAATATCCTCCTTTCTCCTTAAAACTTTTTTCCCTCATCTTCTGATAACTTTTCACCCCCCGTCCTTTACCATATCCCTCCATCAATTGTCCTGTCCATATTTCTCTATTCTCTCAACATACATTTCCCAACTACTCTTCCTTTTGTTCTCCTTATCATTGACTTATTCTTCTTTCATGTCTTCCCATCTTTTTTCTTTGCCACCTTTTCCATTTTCTTTCCCTTTCATATTTTTTTCATTCAACCTTGTTTCCATATCAATCTTCCTCTCTCCTTCCCTTCCCTACTTCTTTCATTTATACCAACTTCCCTGTCCTCCTCCTTCCTTTTAAATATTTCCTTTACAACCCCTCCCCCAGATTCTTTCCTTTATACCCACTTCCCTCTCCCTTCCTTACCTTTACACCCCCCTCCCCCAGATTCTTTCCTTTATACCCACTTCCATCTCTCTTCCTTCCTTACCTTTACACCCCCTCCCCAAGATTCTTTCCTTTATACCCACTTCCATCTCTCTTCCTTCCTTACCTTTACACCCTCCTCCCCCAGATTCTTTCCTTTATACCCACTTCCCTCTCCCTTCCTTACCTTTACACCCCCCTCCCCCAGATTCTTTCCTTTATACCCACTTCCCTCTCCCTTCCTTACCTTTACACCCCCCTCCCCCAGATTCTTTCCTTTATACCCACTTCCCTCTCCCTTCCTTACCTTTACACCCCCTCCCCCAGATTCTTTCCTTTATACCCACTTCCCTCTCCCTTCCTTACCTTTACACCCCTCTCCCCCAGATTCTTTCCTTTATACCCACTTCCCTCTCCCTTCCTTACCTTTACACCCCCTCCCCCAGATTCTTTCCTTTATACCCACTTCCCTCTCCCTTCCTTACCTTTACACCCCCCTCCCCCAGATTCTTTCCTTTATACCCACTTCCCTCTCCCTTCCTTACCTTTACACCCCCCTCCCCCAGATTCTTTCCTTTATACCCACTTCCCTCCCCTTCCTTACCTTTACACACCCCTCCCCCAGATTCTTTCCTTTATACCCACTTCCCTCTCTCCAAGATTCTTTCCTTTATACCCACTTCCCTCTCCTTACCTTTACACCCCCCTCCCCCAGATTCCCTCCCCCAGATTCTTTCCTTTATACCCACTTCCCTCTCTCTTCCTTACCTTTACACCCCCCTCCCCCAGATTCTTTCCTTTATACCCACTTCCCTCTCTCTTCCTTACCTTGACACATCACTCCCCCAGACTCTTTCCTTTATACCCACTTCCCTCTCCCTTCCTTACCTTTACACCCCCCTCCCCCAGATTCTTTCCTTTATACCCACTTCCCTCTCCCTTCCTTACCTTTACAGCCCCCTCCCCCAGATTCTTTCCTTTATACCCACTTCCCTCCCCTTCCTTACCTTTACACCCCCCTCCCCCAGATTCTTTCCTTTATACCCACTTCCCTCTCCCTTCCTTACCTTTACACTTTCTTTCCTTTACACCCCTCTCCCCCTTAGATTCTTTCCTTTATACCCACTTCCCTCTCCCTTCCTTACCTTTACACCCCCCTCCCCCAGATTCTTTCCTTTATACCCACTTCCCTCTCCCTTCCTTACCTTTACACCCCCTCCCCCAGATTCTTTCCTTTATACCTACTTCCCTCTCTCTTCCTTACCTTGACACACCACTCCCCCAGACTCTTTCCTTTATACCCACTTCCCTCTCCCTTCCTTACCTTTACACTCCCCTCCCCCAGATTCTTTCCTTTATACCCACTTCCCTCTCTCTTCCTTACCTTTACACCCCCCTCCCCCAGATTCTTTCCTTTATACCCCCTCTCTCTTCCTTACTTCCCTCTCTCTCCCTTCCTTACCTTTACACCCCCCTCCCCCAGATTCTTTCCTTTATACCCACTTCCCTCCCTTCCTTACCTTTACACCCCTCCCTCCTTTATACCCACTTCCCTCTCTCTTCCTTACCTTTACCTTTACACCCCTCCCCCAGATTCTTTCCTTTATACCCACTTCCCTCCCCTTCCTTACCTTTACACACCACTCCCCCAGACTCTTTCCTTTATACCCACTTCCCTCTCCCTTCCTTACCTTTACACCCCCCTCCCCAAGATTCTTTCCTTTATACCCACTTCCCTCTCCCTTCCTTACCTTTACACCCCCCTCCCCCAGATTCTACCTTTATACCCAATTCCCTCTCTCTCTCTTCCTTACCTTTACACCCCCCTCCCCCAGATTCTTTCCTTTATACCCACTTCCCTCTCCCTTCCTTACCTTTACACCCCTCCCCCAGATTCTTTCCTTTATACCCACTTCCCTCCCCTTCCTTACCTTTACACACCCCTCCCCAAGATTCTTTCCTTTATACCCACTTCCCTCTCCCTTCCTTACCTTTACACACCACTCCCCCAGACTTTCCTTTATACACACTTTCTTTCCTTTATACCCACTTCCCTCCCCTTCCTTACCTTTACACACCCCTTCCCAAGATTCTTTCCTTTATACCCACTTCCCTCTCCCTTCCTTACCTTTACACACCACTCCCCCAGACTCTTTCCTTTATACCCACTTCCCTCTCCCTTCATTACCTTTACAGCCCCCTCCCCCAGATTCTTTCCTTTATACCCACTTCCCTCCCCTTCCTTACCTTTACACCCCTTCCTTTATACCCACTTCCCTCTCCCTTCCTTCTTTCCTTTATACCCTCTTCCCTCTTTCCTTTATACTCTTCCCTCTCCCTTCTTACCATTACACTGCCCCTCCCCCAGATTCTTTCCTTTATACCCACTTCCCCCTCCCTTCCTTACCTTTACAGCCCCTCCCCCCAGATTCTTTCCTTTATACCCACTTCCCTCCCTTCCTTACCTTTACACACCACTCCCCCAGACTCTTTCCTTTATACCCACTTCCCTCTCCCTTCCTTACCTTTACACTGCCCCCCTCCCCAAGATTCTTTCCTTTATACCCACTTCCCTCCCCTTCCTTACCTTTACACCCTCCTCCCCAAGATTCTTTCCTTTATACCCACTTCCCTCTCTCTTCCTTACCTTTACACCCCCCTCCCCCAGATTCTTTCCTTTATACCCACTTCCCTCTCCCTTCCTTACCTTTACACCCCCCTCCCCCAGATTCTTTCCTTTATACCCACTTTCCTCCCCTTCCTTACCTGGATCTCCTCCTAATAATTTCACACAAGCAAGCTGTGAGAACCTCCTCGCCACATCTCTTGGTGTCTCCCCTGCTTGATTTGTAATTGTCATGTTTGCGCCCATCTCTATCAGCCATTGTAGGATGTGAATGTGACCGTTACCAGCAGCTGTATCAAAATACAAATGATGTATCACAGCAGGAACTAGGGATCTCATGCTCAAAACTTTCTTCATTGATAAATAATCACACATGGTAGTATACATACATTCAAATAGATTGCTGTGTCATCGTATTTAGGAATAGAACTTTGGCACTGCATTGTAAACATTTTAATTTTTCATCTCTCAAATCATATTTTCATCTATAGTTCAGTGTACATGTGATATTGCTTGTAAAAGTGAAATCTCTATTTGTTTCTTGTAAGAGTGAAGATCAGCATCATTAGTACAACCAGAGTTCATTGTACAGTAACAAGATATGCTTTCTAATCAACATATTTTTTCAAAACTTTTACAGAAATAATGACTGAAAAAATTTGTTTGAAAAAAAGATCAATGGGTCTTTTCCATTGAATAACATTTTAGAATTAAAAAAAAAAAAGATTTTTTTTATTTTCACTTCCAAAGACAATATTTTTTCAGTGGAAAGAAATGAAAAATTCTGATGAATTGTAAAATTAAATTGAAAAAATTTGTTTGAAAAAAAGATCAATGTGTCTTTTCCATTGAATAACATAGAATAAGAAAAAAAAACGAATTTTTTTATTTGATCTTCCAAAGACAAGATTTTTTCAGTGTAAAAAAATGAAAAATTCAAATGAAATGTAAAATTAAAACAGAGACCTCTGGACAAATAGATAATTTTTTACGTACCTTTGTGAGCAGGTGTAGATCCTTTGTCATCTCTTTCATTTATATTTACAACTCCATTCTCCACCAGCATGCGTAGATGTTCGAGTTCTCCACCGTAAGCAGCCACATGTGCAGGGAATGAGAGATCTGGCAAAATGAAGTGACATATAAAAATGCCAGTTTTGACTCTTGTTCACGTTACGTTTCTTGATAACGGTACAAGTGATAAAAGGACTTTACGCAAGATCTCACTAAAATGAAAAATGATTAAAACTTGTTCCATAAATCACATATGAAATCAAAAATATAATATCCTAAAATTTTTTTTTGTTTCAAAAACTAAAATGCCATCACATGTTTGACTCTTTAATTTCTGACTTAAATTCTGAGGTATTACAGGACAAGATATATCATTTTCCCAACCAAATGATCTGGGTGGGCTTATTACAGGACATGATAAAGTATTATACTAAACAACAAAAGATATGGGTTGGTTCGTTACAGGGCACATTAAATTATTATACTAAACAGCAAAATATATAGGTGGGCTTATTACGAAACATTGGCTTATTACTGGACAGTAACACATGACTTATTACATCGGGATGTATGTACTTACTTTCTGCCTCATCAGGATGGTCTCTCTCCCATTCTATGCCATTGATGTACTCCACAATGTATTCTTTGTAGAATTGTTGAGCGAGATCCTTCGGTGTCTCACCCTGATCGTTTCTAGCCCCGAGCACATGCATGGGACTCACCCCAGAACTGACTAGGTATTTTAGACAGGGCAGATGTCCCTCTGATGCAGCTAGATGTGCTGTTACCAAAGATAGTTAAAACTAATGTATACTGTCAGCTACTTTTAAGAAGATTCATGTAATTGTCAAAATAACTAGCTTTATTGTAAGGATGATAAAAACCCTAAAATATTAAATTTTCGTGGGAAATTTCTTTTCATTTTTGTGGTGTGTACTCTTTATCAAGAATTCATATAGTCACAGACCAATTAATTTGAATGTTAGTATTAGTATCAATAAATTTCTTGAATTTTATTTATTTAGGTGAAATGCCAGTGATAAAAGGTTTGTTCTTAAAACCACAAAATTTGAGTTCAAGGAAAATACATAATTTGTAACAACACAGGTTAGCACTGTTTTGTTACATTTTTTACAGTATAAAGATTCATGAAAATCAACGATTTTTTTCATGTGTCTTGTGTTGTAAAAGATGTTTGGTAATTGGCATAAAGAATTAGAAGGCTTGAGAAAACAGTCTCCGCTGTTACCTGGTGTGTTCCCTGTGTCGTCTGCTTCCTCTGGACTGCCTCCCCACTTACAGAGCAATTGGAGACAACCTAAGCGCCCATGGTAACATGCTGAGTGAATCGGAGTCCAGCCATTTTTATCCGTGGCTCCAATGTCCTGGAAAAGGTTACAGTTGAACTAACATCACAGTGTCCATTGATGAAGTTTACATATTTTAGCATAAATCTGGTAGTTACCATGTATGTCTGGGCTTATTACAATCATTATATGAAAATGAAATAGAATATGTATTGATAGTAGGGGTGGGCTTATTACAGAACATAGGCTTAATACTAGAGAGGTATGGTGAATATAATGTTAAGAATGTCTTAGTGGTAGATATGAAATTCACTAAAATTCTGACAATTTGTGGGATCTGATGTAATTGATACAAACTTTCACACTTAGTTATCAAAGCAAATTCCACCTTCTAGGCGTGATAATCTAGGACAAATTCGCTTCAATAACTAAACACACTTTCAGATACAATATCACATTTACTGTACAAATACATTTCTGCCACTCGTTGTAATAATCAGAGATTTACGTGCCTAACAGGTGAACGAAAAAACAAAAAGCACATCATTTTTTCAAACTCATTAAAGAAAATGATCTTTTCCCCCCAAAATTCCGTGAGGAACCTGTTTGGATTTTTTTTTATGATTGATTCTGTTTCTCTCTAGGTGTAACCTACCTGTCTTTGAAATTGACTTATACAGAATATTAGTGTCCAAGCTCAAGAGAATTTGATAAAAATATTTTTTTTTATTTGATATGGAGCTTTATATACATGTCACATCAAATCAGTAGATAAGATTAATTAATGCAATATTGAAATGAAAATATTTGTTAAAATTCCTATTTATTGTTTGTTTGTTTGTTAATCAAAAACAGCCAAGATTATTTTGAGGTGAAGTTGTCTGGAAGTAGCTAGTGGCTACCTTGTTGAACAATATGGCCATTTTCATGTCATCCCAAACAATTACAGCAAAGTGTCTTGTTAAACAACCACAACAGAACAGACCAGTCTGTTCCTCAGCTTCGTGAGAAACACATTCTATGGGTAGGGAGTGTCAAACCACACACCTCAGATCTTCACCTGAAGTTGTGAAGACCAACACTCTAATGACTGGGCTGTTGTGAACCCCTACAACACATGACAGAATTGAATAGCCATGAGATAGTTTACAAACCACAGACATAATCAGAGGAAAATTTGTATATACTCACCACACCAGACCTGAGTATAGTGTTTAGGGTGAACGAGTTTCCATGAGCAGCACTTAAGTGAGCCGGTGTACTGCCACGTGCATCCTTTGTAGACATGCTTACACCGTTGTTTACCAGGGCCTGAAAGAGTAGTTAACCATCATTTAGCTTCATAAATCATGAACCATATCTACTGGTACTTGTACTGTCCAACATGAGGCCTTTGTCAGGGAAATTAGTATAATCAACAATGTTTTACCTGCATACAAGCATCTTGTCCACGTATTGAAGCTATGTGTGCCGGACTCCAGCCTTTGGGTGTTACCACTGTAGCATCTGCCCCATGCCATAACAGCCAGTGTAGACACTAGTGGAGGGAAATAAAGATATAACTCATTTTTATTTAGAACCCCAAATACAAAAAGAGTACCTGCATGAAGACTATATAAGGGAGATAATTCGTTTTCATAATCATTTATAAGATGTCTGTACAGATCAAGTGAGCAGTGGTAGTCAGTTTTGATACAAAGGGAGGGAGATAACTCCTCCTTTTCATTTAATTCTGGTCATATGGAGATGATTTAAGTTAATAATTAACTTGAGGAGAGATAATACAAGGGAGATAACTCATGACAAGGTTCATTACCAAATACAAGGTGGCAACAAATAGATTTGAGATAATTCTGTTGTGAACCAACCGCACCACAGATCTATGTAAATGTCATTGCAGGCAAGATTCAATTAACAACTTATACCAGTAATTAATCAAATTATAATATCGAGACAAATTATCACAAAATGTATTGTATACAGATTATTATAATTGTAATGGTTGTTATGATATTTTATACATCATCTACTAAACCCTGATATAGGACACAAAGTGCTGGTGGATTGCTTACCTCCAGTGCACCACTGTTACAAGCAGCATGTAGAGGGGTGAATTTGTCTTTCTCTTCTACCTCATTTATACTAGCACCATTCTTGACCATCGATTCCATCTCCATGACATCCCCATGTTTGACAGCATCATGTATGGTAGCGTAACCTTTCCTTGTGCCTGAACAGTTAAGAAATTAAATTAAAGGTTGGATGGGACCTATTTTACTGTTACAGGAAATAAAACTATTACCAAGCTATATACATGTATAAGTCCAGAACTTTATGGTCATTGGCTTAAGAGAGGAAAAGGCCATTAGTTAGAGTCTAAGCTTCCTATCACAGATTTGGTTTTGTTGACCATTCCAAGGGTGAAGGTTAAGTAGAATGAGATGCTGAAGGAAGGAACATTCTTGTGAAGAAGTGTTGAATTTATATGACTAGCGGGAATTTCCCTCTAGCAATGGTGTATGGTATCTGATTTCAGAACAAAAGATTGTGAGTTGAAGTCTTAGCAGAAACAACATAATCTTATATTTCATCACTATTCACACCATATCTCCGGTCATTTGAAAGTTGTCCAGCTAATAATTAAGGTTGTTAATTTCATATAAATTACATTGGAATGTACTTTTGTTTAAAAAAATTATGTACATGTTCATATAATATTTGAGTCATCTATATTCACTTAAATCTATTAAAGCGAGTCAGATTCCCTCAAATAACGAGCAACACTGAATGAGCAAAAGTGTTTATGATAAGAGTTACCTCCCCTGGTTATTTTCACGGTCATGTAAAAATTGCTATAATGAAAGTTATGTTTTAACAATAAGTTACCTTACTAACTCGACGCAATATTTATGCGTAAAATAGTGTATAGTCATATTAGAAAATGAAATAAATGCAAAATTTGAATATGAAAATGAATATTTAAACTGTGCTAATTGCACGAAAGACTGTACTGTACGTCTGTACACTTACAAGTAGATTTGTTTGATCACAAGACTATATATTACGTATTTAAATCACAATTTTATCTCTCAATGAAAAAAAAGGTAAAGAAGTTCCGTTTTCCAATTAAATGACACAACGTGTATCGTGGACACAAAACTATTTTATGACGGATCCAATGCAACTATAAAACACCATAATTGAAAGCTTTATCTCAATAACAAATTTGTGTTTTTAAACGTGAAAGGTACAAAAATTACAACATCATAAGTTATAACTTACATACGACGAACATATTTAGCAAAAAATCTGTTTTTCTTACCTGGCATTTTGGTTGCCAACACTGTTTCTAAATTTGTTTACACTAATTTGTAGGACCGCACCAACGACTCTCTGAAAAGACTGGTGGTTTTAAATAAATCTAAATCATATGAAATTTACGCGTATTTAATCTCTTTACCATATGTTAAATATGAGTATAAAAACTCGATTACAAGCAGACTATATACCTATATTTGATTTAATATTTATAATTTGATAACAGATATAGCAGGTGCGCGCTTGAGCCGAGCCGCTCGAGTGACCTTCACCTTCGATGAGGCTATTTAACACACGTGTTTTTGTTTTGACTGGCAGAGATTAAATAATCTTAAATGAGTGTAAAGAGGTAAGTTCTGATGATAACAAATACGTTAAAACAAAGTATAAATGTATCTTTACTTTAGTCGATTAATAGTAACATCTATCAGATGAATGTATGTGTTAGGCGAAGATTTGACATCCAGCATCAGACATGTCCCCTCCGAAACGTGTCGATCGATCCAGGACGGTTTGTGTTTGTCTTAAAGCTGATGAGATCACGATTTGTCTTGTACTGTTATGTCTGTGTCCTTGGGCAAGACGTTTTACTCCGACGATTGCATGCGGCGAACCTTCCTAATACTATACAGGGAAGGGATTGAAACACGTTGGAGGACTCAAGATTTTGCTAAAGTTCCGGTTTTACGACTGTGTGCACCTATAATTAAATAAAGAAACAAAATATTAAATCTTGTTTTATTTTGCTGATAATTATACCTCTAAATTGATGACTTTCAAGAAATTGTCAATTACAAATCCTTCTGCACTTTGACCAATTCCAATGAATTCATTTCATTTTAACTCTTATGGAGTTAGGTTATAATTATCTAGCTGATGCCTTTTTGTTGAAATTTATTAAAATATTCATGTGAAGCTCATCCAAGACTAATTGTCTCACTGAAATTTACACATATCATAAGAAGCCTACTCATTTGTGTTTTGCAATTGGGAAAATTACATTTTTAACACAGTGGTGATCATAGTTACAGAAATTCCATGTCTGGTTTGTCTATCTGTAATTATAATTGTTGTAAAGGCACCTCTGCCTCCACTCTATGGCTGAATTTGATGAAACTTTACATACATCAATCATATATCCCACTGAGGTTGTGCATCCAAGTATTCTTGTTCTCATTCTGATCCTTTAAAGTCTTGAATTTCACAGATGTGAGGGGTTTATATCCTCATTCAAGTGTGATGGTTAGCTGGGCCTTTCACAGATGGGAGTTTAAACATCTTTGGTGATGATAGATATACTCCTCCTGGACTTGAAGACTCATTTCAGTGAAACGTTGCACATATCTTAACTAGCCCCTGGCAATGTGGATTTTTAGTATTATATATTTCATAGGCTGTTGTCATGGTTATAAAAACTGCAGTATCTGATTAATCAAGTGTGACTTAGCATATGCTTTGCTGAAATAGAATCGCTGGCATTTGACCTATCCACAAACGAATTTTTATATCCCTATCTTTACATGGAGGGGTTTGGAGATTAATGCATTGTGAATGCGTTTTTTCAATTTAACCTCTGTGAACCATAAATGTTGTGGATGAGCATCTGTGATGAGTATTATGCATTGACTGTCCTTGGAGATGACCTTTACCGTTCTAGTTAAGAACGCTTAGCTTTCCATCCTGCAGACTTTTATTATATTGCTATCAGATAATGCGTATAAGACAGAGAAACATCTGTAGATATTGTCATCATTATATTAACAACTGGAGAAAGATTTACATTTGTTACAGCCTTGTTATATCAAAGAACTTATGAAGTTACCTAATGCCTACACGATGGTATCTCCTGAAATGAATATGTGCAGTGTTAAAGTATTCTGTGATTAGAGTGCAGCTGAAAATAAAATCTGATGACAGATTTTGTGAAATTTTTTTCCTTTACTGAATAGTCATCTTCTGATTTCAAAACTAGGCTTCAGCTTAAAAAAGAAATGTTGATAAGTAGTTTTGCAATCTTGACTTGAAAGCTATTAGATTGTATACATTTTTTAATAGGCAAATATCATGTACACACTGTTGAATTATTATGTTGTAGGATTTTCCAAATATTTTTATGAGAAATTCATAAAGATGTCTGGACCACGCTTTCCATGGAGAGGAGGAGGCAGAGGTATGAATAGCAACCCCTGGGGGATGAATCGGTTCTCAGCCCCACCCCCAGGGCCACGTCCTCCAATGATACGTGGACAGGGCCCCAACAACTGGCGATGCCCCAATTCAAGACCAATCATTCGTTATGATATGGGACCATTTGATATGGGACCTAGAGGCATAAGACCAGGATTCTTTCCCAATTCAGGGCCTCGCATGATGGGAATGGGGGGTTGTAGACCTCCAAACCCAGATAGTTTTCAGCGAGGTCAAGGACAAAATACTCAAGATAAAAATTGTTACAACAATCAAGAAATAAATTCAAATGGACAAGCAAACCATGCAGATAATATGCTAAATCGACCCAGCAATAATTTCAGAAGCAATTTTCAAAATGGTGAGAATTTTAATGACAAAAGACAGCCTGGAAATGGACATTTAAAACAGCTGAGTAGCGACCAGACTGGAAACTATCCTGGAAATAAAAGATCCCATGGAAATTGGAATCAAAACAAAAAGGTATGTTAAAATTAATTGTGAAAAAATGTTGGATGATTTAAGATCACAACTGGAGACTTTTCCTGTATAGTCAGTTACTGTCACTTCTTGAGCATTAACCCTTTCGGTGCCAAATATTTCTCACAATGTACAGCTGAGCGCCAAATATTTCTCACAATGTACAGCTCAGCACCAAATATTTCAATGTACAGCTCAGCGCCAAATATTTCTCACAATGTACAGCTCAGCGCCAAATATTTCGCACAATGTACAGCTCAGCACCAAATATTTCTCTCAATGTACAGCTCAGCGCCAAATATTTCTCACAATGTACAGCTCAGCGCCAAATATTTCTCACGATGTACAGCTCAGCGCCAAATATTTTCCGCAAAATATCTGAAAACAATGGCAGAAATTGTCGATTAAAGTCGCCTACGGCGGCCTGTCTGCATGTCGACTTTAGTCATCTACGGCGGCCTGTCTGCATGTCGACTTTAATCGCCTACGGCGCCGAAAGGGTTAAAATCATATTAAAATTATATATGTATGTAACGTTGGAGACCTCAATATCTGGCAGTATCTACTGTTTTTCACAGTGAATCCAACTTTATGTTATGAACATTTTACTCCTAACTTGGTTTCGATTTTTACTAGGAGATTCTATTTTACAAAATTTCTGCTAAATCCATATAAACACTGATAATAGCCTGAAGTTTTATAGGCAATGGAGACAAATTTGTAATCTTGTTGACATTTCATTGTTCTGCTTATCTTGCACGGATTTGTTTTATGTTTAGCCAAAAAAACAGAAAATTGACAAGAGAGAGCTTCCTGAAAATAACAAGTTTTCCTGTGATATTTGTGAAAGGGGATTCAAAACTGAAGAAAAGTATAAGGAGCATACAGATGGCCATATGAAGGTAAGTGTAATGCTGAGACTCTATTGGAGGTTGGTTTTAGTTGGCTTTAGTAAAACTGATTAATGAATAAGGAGGTTGATTATATACAGCAGGTCCTGATGATTCTGTACATAACTCATTTTAGCTTTCCTAGATACTCCAGGAGTTACGATCACTTTCACTGTGTACCATATCCTTGATACTCCAGGAGTTATGATCACTTCCGCTGTGTACCATATCCTCGATACTCCAGGAGTTATGATCACTTTCGCTCTGTATACCATATCCTCGATACTCAAGGAGTTATGATCACTTTCGCTGTGTACCATATCCTCGATACTCCAGGAGTTATCATCACTTTCACTGTACTATATCCTCGATACTCCAGGAGTTATGATCACTTCCGCTGTGTACCATATCCTCGATACTCCAGGAGTTATGATCACTTTCGCTCTGTATACCATATCCTCGATACTCCAGGAGTTATGATCACTTTCGCTCTGTGTACCATATCCTCGATACTCCAGGAGTTATGATCACTTTCGGTCAGTATACCATATCCTCGATACTCAAGGAGTTATGATCACTTTCGCTCTGTGTACCATATCCTCGATACTCCAGGAGTTATCATCACTTTCACTCTGTGTACCATATCCTCGATACTCCAGGAGTTATGATCACTTTCGCTCTGAGTACCATATCCTTGATACTCCAGGAGTTATGATCACTTTTGCTCTGTGTACTATATCCTCGATACTCCAGGAGTTATGATCACTTCCGCTGTGTACCATATCCTCGATACTCCAGGAGTTATGATCACTTTCGCTCTGTGTACCATATCCTCGATACTCCAGGAGTTATGATCACTTTCGCTCTGAGTACCATATCCTTGATACTCCAGGAGTTATGATCACTTTCGCTCTGTGTACCATATCCTCGATACTCCAGGAGTTATGATCACTTTCGTTCAGTATACCATATCCTCGATACTCCAGGAGTTATGATCACTTTTGCTCTGTGTACCATATCCTCGATACTCCAGGAGTTATGATCACTTTCGCTCTGTGTATCATATCCTCAATACTCCTGGAGATACGATCACTTTCGCTCTCTGCATCTTTGGAACGTTAAATGACAAAATTAAAGGTTCCATGTGTGACATCTTGTGCATAAGACAAGAAGACAAGTTTGATCAGCCAGTGACTGGTCATTTTATATCTCCTGGATCCAATGAAGTTACTTTCTTGTGCCTTCAATTTTGCTGTTACATGTTCCAGGGGTGTAGAGAGTGAAAGTGATTGTAATCCCTGGAATATCAATGATGCATTTTAACCAGCTTTGTTAGAATGAACAACAGTAAACCAGTACATAGCTGAAATCCTTTATGGAGATAAAATTGACAGGTTTAAGGTAATGTGTAATCTGATAGAGCACTTAAAACGTCTTTGAAGAATCTTTACATTGAAAGCTTGTTCTAAGTTGGATATCCACACAGCTCTTCATATTAGTGTGGAGCACAGACAAGATCAACTGTCAGATTCTCAGATGAAAGTATAAAGTGCCATCTTGAGAGGTTGAAAGTGAGGTATTAACTGTGATAATGAAATATTAGATATGGCTCAAAGCAATGATTTAGCCATTGTTTTATCCGTTTTAAGGCTGATATGTTGGTCCAGAACTGTCAGACTATTTTAGATCAAGGTGAACACAGACTGGAAACAGATTAACAGATTTGAAATATTATACCGAGGGTGACTGCCATTTTAGAAGTTGATATTGCATTTAGTCAAAATTGTACAAATATGTCTTGTCCATCAAGAAGAGCAAAAGAGCCAGTCATGTAATACAAATTTTGTCTCACACTGTTCATTTTTATTTCCAGTGTACATTCGAAGATTGTTCTTATGTAGCTGCCCCAAAACTGGTACAGCTTCATATCAGAATGGTAAGTACATATGTACCACATAATCTGTTTTGTTACCATATGTGTATGTGTCCATTTAAACTGTATTCGCGGCTTAGGACTGTAATGTTACAATTATACATTAGGATGGTCAGTTGGTCATTGCCAGACTATAGTTTGTGTATGATGAAAATGCGTTGTACTGAACGGGACGTTGTGTTTGAGTTCTATAAAAAAAAATATTACTACCGATGAAGGGAAGGTGTGAACGTTTCAAGTACTGTAGTACTGAACAAAGTATTGATAGTATTGTACTGAAGTACTTCACCAATCGAATTCCTTAAATTTATGCAACAAGCTCTCTGATTGGCAGAGCCAAGTCTAGATCGATTGTGGGTGGAGCCAGGTGAAAAAATACTGTGCAGACATCGGCATTTTACAAACACTCGACTGTCGCGAGAGGTTAATTGGAAGAGTCCAAGTCACAGGTGGCTTCAGATCAGACCTAATTGGGTTGTCCCATTTGTTTCGTTCTACACCCAATGATACCTTGCTTTTCCATCGATGGTACAACGAGAAAACGAAAGTTACTCAGTACTAAACTAATTTACGTACAAAATATATATCAACAGGTTAGATCACTGGGACCGGAGAATTCATAACATCTTAACAGTGAATATAGTCATATAGTCATTCTGTACTAGTTTTATTTATTTATTTTTTTGAAAGGGGGGGGGAGGGTTGGCTCAAAATATTTCGGTTTAAGCCCAAGCTCTATTATATGTAACAAAGAATTACGAATTACCTGGGACCTCCTGATATATGCCGATAATTCATACTGCATTAAAAAATAAAGGAATTCTGTGGTCCCATATATTTTTTATTTTATTTTTTATCTTTCCATCGAAAATTATACATATCCGCAACATGTGAAAAAACTTTGAAGTTGGTTGGGCGGAATATCTAGAGCATTTACTACTGCAAGTTCCAGAAATTCTGACACAAGTCGGGTATTTGCCCGAAGCCTCTGTCTCATGACAGTGAATACATATTCAGTTACGTTGTATTCCGGGGAATGAGGCGGCTGAAAAACCAGGGACACGCCATATTCTTTCAGCATATTTCTTAAAATGCGCTCTCCCTGTCTATGGTGATGGAATCCACAATTATCCATCACAACCACATCGCCTTGTACAAAAACAGGATTCCCCATATCGTTCGTATCGGACATAATTTCGTTGAAGAAAATTTTGCGTACTGTTGCCGTCGTCGGACATTTTTCCAGCGATTACTTAGTAATTGTTATGTAACTGGTAGTGTACATTAACTCCGCCTACCGGAACAAATTGGGTGTCAGATCAACTATTCAGGTTGTCTAAACTCCGCCCCCGACCAATCACAGAGGTCGTTGTATACTTGACTCGATTATTTGAATACTTCAATACAATAGTATCAATACTTTGTTCAATACTATAGTAAGTGTGTCGTTCACACCTTCCCTTCATCGGTAGTAACTGACAAGTGACCTTGTTGGAGCCAATCATGATACAGAGAAAAGTTTTTATTGACCAAATATGTTAGGAACTCTAGTGTTCAGAGTCATAGCTAGTATATTGACACTTAACGTGAAGGTTTCTGTCAGAACTGCATTAGAATGCATGTACTGAAGTTTTGATTGTTAAGGCATGATTCGTCTTGCATCAGTATTTAATCAAATGAAAACGAAAAATAAGTTGGTGTGGGGAGGGGATAGGTACATTTTCATCATCTATGTCATACAAAATGTAGGGATATTTTATTACAGAAATAGATGTAATTGTTAACATTGTAATCACAATTTAATGGAATTTGTCATGGAAACAAAAGGAAATGATACATAAAGTCTTTCAGTAATTCATTTATGAATGTTATTGGACATGAAGCAGATTAAGCAACGGACGAGGACATTTTTGGGAGGGATTTTTTGAGGATATATTCACTTAACAGTTATAAAATCTCGTTTCTTTTCAGCAACACCACTCTGGACTTGCAAAGAAAATTTGGTCTTTAGATTCCAAAGAAGACATTGAAAAATGGCGTGCTGAACGAAAGAAGTAGGTATACAATTCAATCATTGGCAAGAAATAAGGGACTGGGATTTTCAAATTACATTTAGTCATGGTCTAATGTATTCACCTGATGATTAGGCTGTGAATAAGATGTCCTTTGTTTACTTTCTACTGTCTTGAGTAAATTAGTGTTTTTTCTTATTTGCAGGAATTTTCCCACAGCAGAAAATGTGGCAAAGAAGCATGCCCTGGCTGCAGAGAGGAATGCTAGAGGAGAGGTTCTGGAGACAAAACAGTTTGGGTATACACATAATTAGCTATTTATCCTCTGTAATTTTCATCCATTTCACATTGATTAGGTAACAGATTTATTATTGAATCTCTTTAAGCAGCCTTTGTTTTAGATGCATGTGAATGGTTTTAGCCTGCCATCATCAGATAGGCAGCTTCTCAAATTGCCTACGTTACCACTATTTCTGGAAAAGTGCTCCGTGGAAATTTCTTAAATATCATATGTAGATTGCCCTTGGTCCCTAGTCCTACCTATTGGATTTTAGGACATATCCATTAAAAAAATGACAGACAGGCATCTATCTTGAATTCTGTCTATGAAAGTTTGTTGTTGCAATTTCTTGCTAAGTAGGGGACAAATATTTCTCTAATTTCATATATAGATTCCCCATGGTGCCTACTTGTGTCCATCTGATTTGGAATTAATAAACAAAAACAAAATGATGGACAAGTGGCCATCTTGGATTTTAACAATGGATGTTTATTATGTCTATTTCTTAAGGGGGATGTTCAAATCTCATAGAATCAAAAGCAGAAGAAGCAGAGGGGAGATGAAATAAGAGAAAAGGTCCAGCTTTTAAAGAACAGATAAAGCTCGAACAATGGTGGATGCCAAGATCCCTCTGGGATCTCTTGTCATTGTGAGGAGTCTTTGTACACTAACGTTATTAGCCTAACATTAATGCTATAAAGAGAATAAAAAGAGCTGATGGTTTCTTTTGTTTAACAGTAAAATGAAGGGACAGAATAGAAACCAGAGGGAGCAGTTCTCTGGCAAAGGTCCGCAGGATAACAGAAGGAACAGACGGAAAAGGAAAGGTCAAAGGTCAGACAACAACAGTGAAGGCCATGGAAAGAAGGCCAAAGTGGACACTGCTCAGGTTAATATTTTCAAGATAGGATATCACCTAGCTACAAAAACCACACACTGACGTTCTTCAAAGGGAATCTGTTGGTATTATAAATTTTGAAATTAAGGTTATCCACACGAGTTACTGCTTATTTTGATGTGAACTCTAAATGCTGGTCACACTGTTGGTGAATACTAAGATAAGAGAGATTTAAGATAAAAACCTTTCCCTTCTGTTTTATATTTGTATTTCACATGATGTCAATAATCTGACAAATAGTCTGTCAAATACAACCTGTATATGTTTTAACTAGGACCAGGACTGCAGAGAAAACAAATCAGAGAAACCAGAAACTGATCCTCAGACCAAAGAAGACCCTTTATCAGTCCTGCTGACAGACTCTGACTCAGGTAAGTCTGTCTGGCTCACAAACTCAGGTAAGTCTGTCTGTCCTGCTCACAGACTCAGGTAAGTCTGTCTGGCTCACAGACTCTGACTCAGGGAAGTCCATCTGTCCTGCTCACAGACTCAGACTCAGGTAAGTCTGTCTGGCTCACAGACTCAGGGAAGTCTGTCTGTCCTGCTCTCAGACTCAGGTAAGTCTGTCTGTCCTGCTCACAGACTCAGACTCAGGTAAGTCTGTCTGTCCTGCTCACAGACTTTGAATCAGGTAAATCTATCAATTCTGCTCACAGACTCAGACTCAGGTAAGTCTGTCTGGCTTACAGACTCTGACTCAGGTACATTGATCGGTCCTGCTCACAGATGCAGACTCGGGTACATTGATCTGTCCTGCTCAGACTCTGACTCGGGTAAGTCTCTCTGACTCAGTGGTTTTATCTTTCCTGGGCACAGACTTGGGTAAGTCATGTTTTAACAAAAAGAGTAATAGCATTAAATGGAAAAGGTAATAATGGTAGACTAATTATTTTTCATGAATATAAAGAAGAGGATTTACATGATAATACATTTATATGTAGGCGGAAACAATAGAATCAATAACTGAAATATCAAGATTGTAAAACACATTTTTATTTGTTCGCTGTCTCTGGATTAGAAACCCTAATCTTATATTTTAGATAATGAGGAGATAACTCCTGTGGCAAAACCTATTGGGGAAGGAGCAGCTGAGGAGCCAGGAGCGGGACTCCAGGGAGGACTTGGAATGATCCTGGCCTCCTATGGTGCAGATGCAGTTCCAAGCACAGTAAACAACAAAGATAATGGTAAGGAAGGAGTTGTTTCCGTCATTCCAAACAACATTGAAGTTCTGGAAACGGGTTTAAATTTCGTAAATCTAGGTTTTTTTTCTTGATATGAAATCAATAAGATTCTACAATGTAAAAATGTTTCAATGCCTGTAGAAATAACTTAGCATATAAATATGAAAAGATTTGTGTTCAAATTTTTATTTTTTTATCATGTTTTTATCCCTTTTTCAGATGTTCCAGATCAGGATAGAACCAGTACTACAAACACGTCTGACAGACAAAGTCCCAACAGAAATAAGAAGAAAGGAAGTAATTCGAAACTTTCTTCCAAAAACACAAAGGCTGGGAAGAACAAATGGAAAAATAATAAACTGTTTAATAATACAACTTCATCTCTACTGGAGAAGGTAGGCTGTTTAAACATCAATCATCAATATTTCCTGTTTTTAAATGTAAATTTCACTCAATATACAACATAGCATTATTTTTCATTGCACATATTTGTGATGATTTTGGCTCGGTTTTGTTAAAATCATTACCGATCCAATACAGTGGAGCCCACTGAATATCATGTCTGGTAATGTCACTTTCCTGTTAATATCACATTTTATCTGATATATAGATTTCTTATTCATTCTTTACTTTTCTTTGGAAAGAAAATATATATTGTGACGTTTACATAAAATGCTTAGCTGAAAATGTTCTTACTATTCTACTTAATGTGTCTTATAAATTAAATTTTTAACCATAAATGGGTTTACTTTTCTTCGGAAACACAATATATTGTGATTTTGATATGGAATTTTTAAATGTAAACATGATAAACATTCTCTTTTGTCTAATTTAGAGGTTACATTTCAGGTATATTTTTATACAGTCATTATATAGGAATTATTATTCTGACCTCATTATGTGATCATTCATGATCAGCATGAGTGTTGATATAAATTTTCCCAAAAAATGTCAAATTTATGGCCTGTCGTTTCTTTATCTAACATCAATGATGACCTACGTACAGAATACTGTTGTCTAGTGAAAAAATGGTACTCATAATTAGATTTCTTTTTTTCAGTTATTGGCCAAAGAAATCCGACATGAGAGGAACGTGATTCTGCAATGTGTTTATTACATTGTAAAGAATAACTTTTTTGGGGCAGGAAAAAAGTCTTCCTCCAGAGACAATGAAACAGACAGATCTAGTATTACATCAATGAGTGTCGAACCCATCATTAATGATGCTGCATGCATGTGAGGGATTAGCGGTACAGGTGTCCTCCAACAAGCCCAAGTACCAGTCCTCTGACTCGTGGCCAGTAGGAACACCTCTTGAGGACGATGAAATAGGCTTACTGTTAATGTAACAGAACAGCAGTATATTTTGGTGGGCTTATTACCAGGCGTGGGCTTGTTGCAGGATAATTATGGTATTTTGGTTTCAACATGCATTCAGAGCATGTAAATCTTCATTAAAACAACCAAGCTATTGATTAACTCTTTCGTCACACAATGTGCATACTGTAATTTTTTGTTTTCGCTGAACTAAATTTTGCGGGATCAATTTTTAATATTGCAAAACGGGCTATATGGTTCCACATCGTCTAGCGAGTTCCTACCTCTGCAAATTAGTAGAAATACTATTTTCAAATTTGTATTTGCAGTTATTTAATTGCATTTCTTAATGTCCTTACCTCCATTGGACAGCTCCAAGAATCAGTGTGTAGATAGGGATTAAAATTTGTTGATATTGTGAACATTTTACCAAGTAAATCTTCACTGGAACTATCTTTCACCGTTGAAATACAACTGCGAAAATTGTGGAAATTAGAACCTTGTGATAATATCAAATTTTAGGGTAATTATTTTTTGTCTTTGTTGCCGTGTACTGACACAGCATGTGTACAGGAATCTTGTGGAAGACAGTCTTGATCTTTGTGCCAGGAATTTGACAGTGTGAGTGGTTGATGAATAAGTCTTGGCCACTTCCTGAATAATCTAATGAGTTACAAGTTGAAAACAATTCTGTATAACACTTGTTTTTTTATATGCATTCAATTTTTGCTAAACTTGCGACGAATTCTGAATGCGAACATTGCAATCATGAAATGTATTGATAGACACAGGTTTATGTTTTTTCAACATGACAGTGTTTATTGTAGAGCTTGATACATAAATATTTATGTAGCATTAATGATGGACTGTACAAAAGAAACACCAATCAACCGTGACACGAGTGACACGTAAACCAACTTTCAGTGTCGTATAAATATATGCAACTGTTAATACACTTGTATATCTATGTTTGCTGTTATTGATCAGAGAATCTAGATTAGTTTGTATCGCAAATATATAATATATCATTTGATTATTATACAAATTGTGTAATTTAGGCATCTTGGAAATATGTTTATACAAGATGTGTATCGTTTTTGTCATAATAGCGTATGAATATGATTAACCTACTTCCGTCTTGTTATGTGCCAAGTGATATAATCCCCGGTTATTTTAAGGAAATGTGATATTCGAAGATGCCTTGCTGCCATGGAAACTTGCTCATGTGTTTGTGAAAACTGAACATGTGTGAGTTTCTGACACAAGGTGGTCAGCCAGTGCCCTCAGCAAAGTAAATTTTAGATAATTATTTTGTCCTTGGCATGCTGTTAGACATTCCTTTTTAATAAGCATTTACATATTCATTTAAAGGTTTATCTAGGACCCATATAAACTATGGAAATTTCAGTAGGAAAATGTCAGTTTTCTAGTATGTAATTCATAAAACAGTGTCATGTACATTATAGAACTGTTTTTATCCCGAGTTCTGACCCAGATTTTTATTGTAATTCCATACTAACCTACCCTTCATCTTGGATCCTCGCTCCACATTTCTTTCCTGAATTCTAGACATGAAATATCATCTTTATCAATAGAACTAATTCATTGTTATTTCAAATATGAACATTATAGTCGGCTTTAAGCTTAAAACGTGTAATTTGATGGTGTGAAAAATAATCTCACACAGTATTTTATTTGGGTTTCACATCCTCTGTAAATAATTAGTTTCAAGTGACAATTTGGCGAGTACATTTAATTTTCATGTAATCTTTTCATCATACACATCACATTTACATAATGTATTACTTAAGAAATAACAAGTGATTGACTTGGTAAGATTGATTTTGAAACATCAGTAGGGGAGCAACCAGATCACCTAGTGTTTATTACAATCCCCTGTCTATAGTTTCCAATATGTACAGGTCCCCTGGGTGGCCACTAAAGACAGGTTTGACTGAAAGTCATACCAGAAAGTAGTGAAATGAATTTCATTTACTGTCTACATCAATGTGTTTTGGCTTCTTGTGTAAGGGTCTGCAGAGACTTGTTCATATTGAATCATTTCTGGAAAGATGGAATCGGGGATTCTTTCTACAAGAAGGACATATCTGCTACAGTTATAGAAAGCTGGTGCATGTCAACATTTACTTACAATCTTGAATGTTACAAGTCTGATTTTGTAGATGTTCCGTCTGTATAATTTTCCATTGCTGACAATGAATGGATGAAAGATGAGGAATTAGATTATGGTTTTGACATATGGAAAATCCAGCAAAACTATGAATATTGTAACATTGATCAGTTCAAATCTTAACCATTGGATTGATATTTTGTATGGTTTTGTATGCTAATTGTATTTTTATAATAAATACTTTTTAGTCTGGATTACTTTAGGAAATTTGATTAGGGTCTGCAATGTTTTTATCTCAAATATGGGATTGAATAATGTACATTAATTAACACAAGAATGATGCTTTATGTGTGTAGCTGCAGACAGTCCAAATTATTCTGACATTCCATCAATCTTTTATAAATCAGCCTGGAGTTGATGAAGATCATTGAGTCTAGACTGATATATAAAGTTGATAGAATGTCAGAATTATCCAGACTAAACTGTAAGGTAGTGTCATTATGTTATAACAAATTAATCCCAAGCTTCCTGGTTAATGAAGATACACCTTTATCACTGTGAGTACATGCTTTATGTATAGGTATTATATATAGAGCGTATCATGTTTTACCTTATTCATCCACCAATAAGCCGGGGGTCAGAACATTGCCTCTAAACTCAAAAATCAAGGTGAAGATTAATTACAGTCCAATAGATACTTGTTAGTAATTTTACTGAACAATTTGGTGGCTTTATTATGGATAGACTGATTGTAACACAAAATTTGACTCAAAAAGAGGATGGACTTATTATAACACAAAATTTTTGACTCAAATTAGGGGATGGACTCATTGTAACACAAAATTTGACTCAAATTAGGGGATGGACTTATTGTAACACAAAATTTGACTCAAATTAGGGAATGGGCTCATTGTAACACAATTTTTGACTCAAATTAGGGAATGGACTCATTGTAACACAAAATTTGACTCAAATTAGGGAATGGACTTATTGTAACACAAAATTTGACTCAAATTAGGGAATGGGCTCATTGTAACACAATTTTTGACTCAAATTAGGGGATGGACTCATTGTAACACAACATTTGACTCAAATTAGGGGATGGACTCATTGCAATATAAACTTTGGATGGCTGGGTGGCACATCATTTTTCACAGAGATGTGCAGGATTTGATTCCAAGCATGAATGTGAAAAGGTATGGGGTCATCTGCCCGGCCACCTGGGTTTTCCCCAGGTACTCCAGACACCTCCCACAGTAAGACCCCATGAGCGCTTCCATCCAGTCCAACAAAAGAAAGCTGATAGCTTGTTTTGCAACTGTTGTAAAGTAATTGTATATTCATATTTAAAACTTTCGCTCTAAGTAGGGGAGAAATTTTTGTAACCAAAACAAACTAAAGCTCAAAGTAGGGCTTGGATTTGTTGTGGAGCAACAATAGGTTTGGACTTATTGCGAGACGACAATAAGGACAGACTGATAGTGGGACAACAGTAGGGCAGACTTATTGTGGAAGAACAGTAGGGCAGACTTATTGTGGGACAACAATAGGGGCAGACATTGTGGAATAACAGTACAGGTGGGCTTTCTATCAGGCATGGGCTTATTGACGGATAAATAGGGTAAGCATAGAAATATATTGTTATTGTTACAGCGTTTGGGTAATAAAATGTTAAAAGAATTTGACATTGTTTTATTTGTAGACATCTAAAATTTTGGTACTTTTTGTGCTCCTCGCAAATATTCAGGGGAGAAAATTAGCACAGATTTTATCGTCCGTCCTTTAATGTCTGAAACATAACTTTGCCCACACTGAAGCAAGGATCATGTTAATGTTGGTGATACCAATAAGGGGATGTGCAGTGTACCAAATTCATTGCATTAAAACTAGGATGATGAAACTTGGTGTATACATTGGCCATACTAAGAGAAAGTGCAGTATTCAAAATTTAGTGGTAAAACCCTTTAGTTAGAGTTATTGCCCTTTGTCAAAATTTTGTGTCCAGTAAAGTTGATTTTGGGGAGCATTCATCAGTTTCAGTGATACACTTTTCACTGATTTATTAAAACATCAAAGAAACAAAAAACAAACAATTCACTGCTGTTACAGTTTTATCTGTACTGTCTGTATACACATTAAATCTCCACTGAAATGAAAGACATCACAAAATATTTGAAATTAAAAAAGCTACACATATACTTCAGTCACAATTTACACAAAATTTAACAGGATCAGGAGAAACGTGACAAAATATTGTATAATTCACTTTAAGGTCAGATCAGATGGGGTGTTTGCATATATAGGTTGTATTAGGCAGGGTGTTGGGATATATAGATCAGATTAAGGAGGGTGTAAGGATACTTAGGTCAGATAAGGGAGGGTGTATGAATACTTTGGTCAGATAAGGGAGGGTGTAAGGATACTTAGGTCAGATTAGGGAGGGTGTAAGGATACTTCGGTCAGATCAGGGAGGGTGTAAGGATACTTAGGTCAGATAAGGGAGGGTGTATGAATACTTCGGTCAGATAAGGGAGGGTGTAAGGATACTTAGGTCAGATAAGGGAGGGTGTAAGGATACTTAGGTTAGATAAGGGAGGGTGTAAGGATACTTAGGTCAGATCAGGGAGGGTGTATGAATACTTAGGTCAGATTAGGGAGGGTTTAAGGATATTTAGGTTAGATAAGGGAGGGTGTAAGGATACAGATTAGGGAGGGTGTATGAATACTTAGGTCAGATTAAAGAGGGTGTAAGAATATTTAGGTAAGATTAGACAGGATCTTGAAATATACAGGTCAGATTAGCTACTACATTACAATAGCAAGAAATGCTTTGTTTGATCATTCAAACCTTATTCAGTCGGAAATTGAAACATCTTTAGTACACATTTAGGATTTGGTTATTGTTTATAGCCTATGAAAGAAATTGACAAAAACAATTTTTCTTGACTTCACTTTGTAGGGAAAAAAATCACAATAAAAGTGACAGCAATGAAACGATTTTACATAATAATATACCATAATTTCTCTTGAATGTGCACTTCCAATTAAACACAACAAAAAAACCTGACAGTGTAAAAAAAAATCGTGAGGCTCCATTGGGCAGTCCTCATTTTAACCAACATGTAAACTAAAAAATTGAACCAAGTATATTTAGAAGAAACTGACCCATTCAGCTTCACCTGTAACTAATCAGGTAATATTTGTTCAGTGTCTAGAGTATAATGCATGCTTCATGATGACGGTGGTTTATCTATATCCCAATTTACACATGAACTTATTTGTAAATAATATCAGAATGAAAAACACAGGTCATTTCAGTCTGACTATACCTAAAATAAATGTCTGTGATGTTTGATTTGTAAAATCCTTTTGGTCTACAAAATTAGAATCTTACATATGTACACAAATCCCTGCTACAATGGTATTAATAGAATATTTTTTTTTTATTCTGCACTAGTTCAGCTCATTCAAATATTCATGCAAAGCTTAATGACTGCAGGAAAAAAAGCCCAAAATGTTCCAGATATAGCATAAGCACTATCTACAGGTGAACAGATAGGATTATTATAAACCGGTGCATGAATTCACTGGTAAGTCTTACAATATAGAACTAAAAACACTGTTAAGAAGCCTATTACTATGAACACTCTTTTTGATGGTTTACATTTTCACAATTTTCCAATCATTGAAAGTGAAAAGCTACTTGACAAGCATAGCACACACGGAAATCATTTTTATTAAGACAACCACGAACTACGAAAATATGAAAGAAAATAAACAGCCATTGCTGCCTTCAAGTCTGTTAACAAAAATGTAGATTAATTTTTACAGGGTGGAACCGTGCTAGTAGTGTAAGACATCTCTAATAAGGTATCCCAGTTCCGCACCTCTCTGATGGATAACTTATCATTCTGGAAATTCCAAAATTTAAAAACTTAATAACGCAGAATTTCACAAGGTGGAAACCTTCGTGCTGTGGAAACTTTCTAGTGTACAACATCAGTAGAATATCACTAACTTTAGTTTCGCTGTTCCACTTTCACTTCTCAAAATGACATCACATACATGTGTAAGTTTACACTTCATCACAAAATAGCATTTGTGACCAAGTTTTTATCTTTCATAACACAAAAAAAAAAGACTTCCACAAAATCCACCTGTCAAATTATCGTTCCTTACACAACAAAGAAGACTTTGACAGAAACAACCTGTCAAAATATCTTTCCTTATCCAAAATTTAAAAATTCCACAGAAACTACTTGTCAAAATATCGTTCCTTACACAAAAAAAGAGTTACGCAGAAACTACCTGTCAAAATATCGTTCCTTACACAAAAAAAGACTTCCACAAAAACCACCTGTCAAAATATCGTTCCTTACACAACAAAGAAGACTTTGACAGAAACAACCTGTCAAAATATCTTTCCTTATCCAAAATTTAAAAATTCCACAGAAACTACCTGTCAATATTGTTCCTTACACAAAAAAAAGAGTTACGCAGAAACTACCTGTCAAAATATCCTTGTTTATCAAAAAGAAGAAAGATACATCATACATACAATTATTTCTATAAAAGGGCATTAAGTAAACTTAAAGGATTTTAGGAAATTCTGTGGATATTGTTGTTTGGGGAAAATATCACTCTCAAACAACGATATACAGATAAACGAAGTCTTTCTGTGATAATTACAAACCCAGGAATTTATTACAATACTGACACGGACAAAACGATACTTATTATCACAGTTATAAAACTTTACAGAAATCACAGATTTCTTTCTACATCAGAAATTAAACAGGGAAGACTTCATCAAAGACAACGAGAAAATGATATTTTACCAAACAACTAAACCAATATCTTCACCATGTTACTCTAACAGAAAGAATTCAAGAAATACTATGATGAAAACTAGAATGATAAATCTAAATATTTAGATATTAGTGTTAATATCAATGAGAAAGTTAATTTTATAGAATTCCAGTTAAATCTGCCTCACACTGCGAGACTGAACATGCTAGTGAGGTGTCTTCTTTGCTTCTATTTCAGATATTTCTGTGGTTGGTTATGTAAAACAGACGGTAAAATATCTTGTCGTCAGATTGGACAGGTTGTCAGAATACTCTGACATCAGATAAGACAGCCTGTCAGAATACACTGTTAACAATACTTCATAGTATTTCTAATTATGACCAGTGCAGAGGCTCAATGGTCCAGTTGCCAAGGACAGTAAAAACTGAATTTGAGAAAAAGGAATTACAAGCACTCACTATTCATTATGAAATAAAACTAACAGTTTATTCATTGACAACATGAATACACTGACAACTACTGAGTATTTTAAATCACATAGACGTGTTAACCCTATCAACACATGTTAAAATCTTTAGGATAAACAAATACAACAAAACTGATTCATGCATTTTAAGCGTTGTTGTCACATGACAGATGAAAAAGCCTCTAACTTTAAAAAATCAGAAAGTAAAAATAATTTTCCATCAGACTATGTGGGAAGCTTTCGTCTACCTTTGACTAGAACACACATTGACAAAGATAATGTTAACCTATATTTATCTTGTAGTGAGCTCAAACGGGAAGGAGGGGGGTACTTCCTACTCTAAAAGACAAGATAGCGGGCTTATTAATGTTAGTCCTGTACAAACACATGTTATCTATAATTTATGAAGCAACTGCTATATCCCCTGACTGGTTTCGATCACAGCTGCCTTGTGAAGTGTTTGGTCCGTTATTACTTTGAGAGAGGGAACCCTTTATGACCGAGTCTGTTGTGACGTCTGGAACCATCAGACCCTCAATCTTGTGCCGAGTCAAAAATTCCTGAAAGTCAAACTGCACCTCTGTTCCTGTAAAAAGGATACAATTGTTTTGAATTAGATTTTACAACTTTGATGGGTAAAAATTAAAAACATATTAAAACTTTGCTTTAGAGAATGAAGATCCTAATACTTACTTAATATTTATTTAATTTGCAGAACTTTTTGATATACAAAGCACTGTTGTCTGTTCCCCCAGTTAATATGCTCATATCATAAATATTGTACAAAATCTGTGTATTTCTTTATTTTATTTTATTTATTTGTTTCAACTCAACAGATCTGAGGGGTCCAATTACAAAACTGATAACAATGATAATACTACTATAATAAAATATCACAGACACACATACATAATCAATAAAGAATGTGTAGCTTAATATAGTTCATAAAACAAGAGGACAAATGGACCTGCATGGCTCAAACATGCACCTTTGACATTCAAAACGGGCACATGCAATCAATTTTAATCAATTTCCACAACAAACAGCTTCTATTACCCACCTCTAAACAGTGACAATGATGACCAGGATTATAGGTAAATGCCTTTTTCTTCTTGAAATAAGAAACAACTTTCCACCAAATATCATGATTCTCAGACTTTTGGTTTACCAGAAGAAGTCTTTTATAAGTTTTGAAAATATGACTCCTGTGACCTTGACTATTCAAGGTCATTTCTTTTTTCGCAAACTTCATCAGGCTTCATCCCAGAGACCTAATGGTCAGTCAGAAGAAGTTGTTTTTAAGTTTTAACAAATCTGACCCCCGTGGCCTTGAAAAATTTATTTCTTTTCGCAAACTTTGTGCTCCAACCCAGGAACCTATCAGCCAAATGCCATGCTTCTGCACATTCTGGTTAGTAAGAAGAAGTTGTCAAAATATTTTAACAAATTTGATACCTGTGACCTTGAAAAAAGCGGTAGAAGTCATTAGATAACAACAATATTTGGTCATAGTCTTTAAAAGTCAATGCTGAAAGGGTGCTTTAAAGTGCCATCCAGCAAAACACTTTATAATCAATTGTACTGTATCACAGCTGTATGTACTTAGATGATGTACTATGCTATGTTTGAACATATTTCACTACATCATCCAAAAATTGATTTAGAAATTTTCAAATACTGATGAAAAGTGAAGAAATACAAGGTGATTCTATAATGTGACCTAAGGACATCAGGATATGACTAATACCATGCTAACCTGACAAAATCAGGTGTGCTGACAACATGTAACTTACTGTAACAATTTTTTGTTTTTAATTCAAGTTATTGTCGCTTCACCAAAAGATTGATACATAACACTGTTTTTTTCTTTTTTTTTTAGTGACTACTTTTTTTCTTTATTACTGTTTTTTAAGTTTTCAAGGTATCTATTTGTGACAATGTACATACAACAGGTACTCTAACAAAGGTCTAGTTTATGCTAGCTTTCTGTCTTTATATAAAGTTTCCTGCAAAAGTTTACAAAAGTTCAAAAAACAAGTATTAAATATACTCTTTTATTGAGCAGTCTGGTCTAACCTTACCCTGCCTCTGATAAAACAGAATGTAGGCGTTACTGAAATCGCTAGCATTTGGTTCCTGCTGTGAGATTGTCTCATCGTTGTAGTAATACCACACACGGTCCTGAGGGTGTTGAGCATATGCTGTGTAGTGTCCTGCATTCGCTCCTAATAATCAAAGAAACACAGTTCAATTTTCTAATAGCAGTTATCTCAATTTGTAACTCTTCAGATATGAAGGTAATTATTGAAGGTCTGTTAACAACCTTATCCTATCATATCTTTTAGCAGAAATTGTTTCTATAAATGGGGATTTAAGATGATGGTCCTTGATTAATGAAATATGAAACAGAATGGCTAAATATTTTATTTAGTCTTATATAAAATAAATTTAGGAATTTGCCATTTCAACTGTATCATCTTACTTTATTGAAGTGTCGTCTTTAAGAAAATATTTGCAGAAGTTAAATGATTGGGTATTTCCCTTTTCAGGCACATATTCTACTCTTACACTTTGTTGTTTTATCCCAAAAATCTTGTGGTATATCTAGTATGCATCAGATTCAAAGAAGGGAGATAACTCATTCCTGACTGTGTAAACTCCAATCAGACTTCATCTACTGTATTGGATTCTCAAGTTTGTTAAAGTTTGACTGAAATATGTCTGCAAGACACCAACTCCTCTGTTCTGATGCAAATTAGCTGATTATCTTTAGATAGTAACGATAACCTTGATTTTGGTAGTGTGAAATACAAAATGAGATATTCTCGTACCTATCCCTGTGTACCAACAATGATTAAGATTAAAACAGAAGACACAACCACCGCTAAGCTACAGATATCACAGTTACAACAGAAGACACGACCACCGCTAACCTACAGATATCACAGTTACGACAGAAGACACGACCACCGCTAACCTACAGATATCACAGTTACGACAGAAGACACGACCACCGCTAACCTACAGATATCACAGTTACGACAGAAGACACGACCACCGCTAACCTACAGATATCACAGTTACCACAGAAGACACGACCACCGCTAACCTACAGATATCACAGTTACAACAGAAGACACGACCACCGCTAACCTACAGATATCACAGTTACAACAGAAGACACGACCACCGCTAACCTACAGATATCACAGTTACAACAGAAGACACGACCACCGCTAACCTACAGATATCACAGTTACGACAGAAGACACGACCACCGCTAACCTACAGATATCATTACGCAGTTACCACAGTTACCACAGAAGACACGACCACCGCTAACCTACAGATATCACAGTTACGACAGAAGACACGACCACCGCTAACCTACAGATATCACAGTTACGACAGAAGACACGACCACCGCTAACCTACAGATATCACAGTTACGACAGAAGACACACCCACCGCTAACCTACAGATATCACAGTTACGACAGAAGACACACCCACCGCTAACCTACAGATATCACAGTTACGACAGAAGACACGACCACCGCTAACCTACAGATATCACAGTTACGACAGAAGACACGACCACCGCTAACCTACAGATATCACAGTTACGACAGAAGACACGACCACCGCTAACCTACAGATATCACAGTTACGACAGGAGACACGACCACCGCTAACCTACAGATATCACAGTTACGACAGGAGACACAACCACCGCTAACCTACAGATATCACAGTTACGACAGGAGACACGACCACCGCTAACCTACAGATATCACAGTTACGACAGAAGACACGGCCACCGCTAACCTACAGATATCACAGTTACGACAGAAGACACGACCACCGCTAACCTACAGATATCACAGTTACGACAGAAGACACGACCACCGTTAACCTACAGATATCACAGTTACGACAGAAGACACGACCACCGCTAACCTACAGATATCACAGTTACGACAGAAGACACAGTTACGACAGAAGACGCTAACCTACAGATATCACAGTTACAACAGAAGACACGACCACCGCTAACCTACAGATATCACAGTTACAACAGAAGACACAACCACAGCTAATTTATGTATCAAAGTGAGGCTATAAAACAATATCCTATTCAATCTCCCACTTGAAATAAAGTTTCATAAGTTTTAATTTCTGCTGAAACAATGATTCTAAATGTTTATGAGCTGGTTCCCTTACATGAGTGTTTTGCAATATCTTAAGATAACAAACAAGCCCGTACATATAAACATGTGTGTGTTTATAGTAAAAATACAGACAACATGATATATGACTGCTTCAAAGCACTGACCTCCAAAATGACAGACGATTCCATAGAGGTCGTACAACGGACATTTAGTGTTTGGTCCAGAGATCATCTGGGTCAAATCCAGGCCCTCCAAGGGAAAGACAACATTGTTGTCAACCTTCGTACTCGACAGTTCATGGAACATAAACCTGAAATGTTTATTTTATGCACAATCATTGTATCGTAATGTTAAATAGCACACCATGTTTTTTTCGGATGACACTGATTCCAAATAGTTACATTACAATTCCATTCAGAAAGATCAACTACCACTTATTAAACAATACATAGAAGGGGATATAATAGGTTATGTAGCCAAATATTTATCATTCAAATTTAAAATTTTATTTCACAACAACAAACAAACAAATATAATCCAGACATGTGCCCAGAATCTTAGAGGTGGGGCGGCACCAAAAGGTATCATTTTGGAGGCTGACCTTTTAAGGTGGATGATAAGTCTATCCGGGTACTGCCACACAGTCATTGTTTTCTTTGCACACTGGTTGCGCTCACATCGTGGACAGAACCAAGGATTGTGTTCATCCAGTACCTCACTGTTAACAGAAAAACGAAATCATAGGATATGCCATTCAACAAGAAAATGATAAAAGAAATCACCCTGGGGTCATTCAAGGATTAAATTAAATTGCTTCCTATCAGAATTCCCTCTCTTAATTGTACTGAAAGAAGTTTCGACAAAACAAATTGCTTGACACGAGCTGCACTTTTGGTTAGAAACATTATTTTAATTCTCTTTCCATTGTATGGAGGCAAATATACACCGTAAAATATCGAACTGAAAAATATTGACCTCTTTATGATAAATTGCACACTACAGTACCTTTCAGTGAAAGCCTCCAGACAATCGTTTATATGGAGAGGTTTGTCTGGTCGGCGGAGTTCCATTGATTTGTCTGTGTGATACGTCTCGGCACAAGCTAATTGTTCTGCAGTCAATTCACCATAACACACAGCCAAGTTATCACCGGGGCGAAACAAAACATCTTCCTCTCGTGTTAGCAGGCACCCCTGACACTTGGATGTGTAGTCACAGCGGGAACAGTGCAGGCCCTACACATACAAAACCAGAAAGTTATATGAAATATCTTATCACCATACAGAATAAATCACCCTTACCTCTAACCACTGGGTACCTGAAGATAATCCAGCAAAATTTATGGAATTTAAACAGATTGATGATCCCAATAATAAATAGTTTAGTCATTAGATTCAAAATATATGTTAAATAGTTGTGTTGATATATTTAAAATATCACTCTAATAAATACATGTGATCGTTTTAAAATTTTAGCTCAAGAATATAGATTTTGGGCTAAGCTTTCACAGCTCTTTCATGATAATATGAGAATATCTTACAGCACAGAGGTGCCTTGTATAATGTAGTTCTATTTGTTCATCATCTTGTGAAACCCTGGAATATTTCAAGACAGAATCTCCCTGTGGAAGCTGGTGACTGCCTCACTGAACAAGATATGGAAGGCCATCACGTTGGTATTCAGAGCAATTAGGGTGAAGTGTTCTACTCAAGGATGTTTCTCAGTTTGTTAAGAAACACAATTAGCCACAGGTAGGGGGGAGGTGGAACCATACTTCAGATCTGAGATCAATATTCTACCCTCTGAGATATCACTGCCAATTCTTGCCTTTTAAAGCCTAAATTTTTCTAGATGTTGATGTCTACCTACCCTTGCCCTTCTTATACTGACCTGTCCATCTGTGACTGTTAAAGTGTAATCAACACGGACCGGACATATCTCATCTATGTAATCATAAAGCTCTTGTCCAGACATTGTATTGGCCAGATACAATGGACGTGGATGACCAATGAGGCGACGATCTCCATTCTCGGTGCAGATATTAAACGAAACTGGCACCGAAATTACCCTACAACAGAAAACAAGGCTTAACATGATTGACAGCTACAACACACAGAAAAGGATCTCTGAATTCTTTTTCTATAATTCTGACGATTCCGAAAAAATTACCAAGCCATGGGGATCAACTCATCGACTTTGTCTCAAATAACAATGTGACATTACCGGAGGAAAAACAATAGAGCATGTTAGCATTTATACCAACTGTAATAGACATGAGTGGACACATAACTTGGGGAGGGTTTAAATAACAGGGAGAATCAGTCATTTGTTTATCTACATCAAACATTGACCAATGTACAATGCGAATCTAAATCATATCATGTCAATTTTACCTAGTGACAATATAATATCATAGGAAAAAGAAAACAGTGTAAACCAGGTATTGTCACCTTACCTTATTTTGACAGGTTGATCAGAGTTATCTGCCCCTAGAGAAGTAAAGTCCTCTGTAAGAACAGCAGGTGCTGAACAGACCTGAAATTACAAACATTTACAACGATAAAATAATCATTGTATTTAACCTGCATTTAAACCCTGAAGCCTGAAAAAAAAGCTCAACACATATAAATATATTGTATCATTTCATCAGAATAAGGGAATCAAGTCCAGTATTAATTATTGAGAATATTCTCATTTACCTTAATTGAATATAGATAAAGTTACAAATATACATATAATATCAAACATTCAATGATTTCCCACTAAGCCATATAAATCACTTACTGGACAAGTGTAGCTATCTTCTCCGTAATGTCTCACCGACATCTAAAAAGGAAAAAAGAATTACTTCATAGTAGACACTTGTTAGACCAGACAAATGTAGGTTTTATGATTCTACAACCATTTTTGTTATATCTTCTTCATTTTATCAACTGAATTTAGACAGAAAAATGACAAAAATGGTATAAAAATGTACATTGTGCTAAAATACATGTTCCCTTTCTTGTCAGATGACCTGAAAATGAAATAACAGTAATATTTACCATACTTATGTCAGAATATTTCAGAAATTTTCACAGACATTTGCAACAGCAAACAAAGCAAAACTTCATACATTTAACATAGCACAACTATAATTATATACATTCATGTCCCCATATATTACTACAGAACATGAAGATCGTGATAAATCCTACCTCTAGACAAGTCTGACAGAAGGTACCCCCACACTGCTGGTGGACCATCAGTTCAATATCCATCAGATCCTCAAGACAGATCGCACATGACCTCCACTGGTCTGGTGTCACCACAGATGGCGCTACTGTGGAACCAGAACCATCTGTGGCAGGCATGTTATCTGAAATCCATGTCTCAATAGATTCATGTGTTGTTGACGTTGGGAATGTTTCTGACGTGACTGGATTTTCAGGAGAAGTAGGGTGATAGCTCCAATTAGCTGCAGGATCTTTCTCATCTCCCCACAGTGGGTTGTCTGACTGGATTTCGGAAGAACCAGCATCCAACATATATGGAGCATCATCCATCAGAGACAGATCTGTCCTTAGTTGAGGCTGATCCGCTGTATTTTCCATCGTCATCTCAACTGTCAAAGACAGAGAGGGGTCACAATCCTCCTGTCCAGAAACAACATTAGATATCACAGTAGATTCAGCCGTTAGATTCTGCATAACTTCAATATTGTTTTTCCCTGAGTTATCATCCTTGGACCTGCTCTCCTGATTACATATATGGTCTTGAGTACATATAACTGCATTCAGGCTGTTATCCTCCAGCTGTGTTACTCCTGGTACAAAAGTGTCCATCTTGCTGAAGATGTCAGCTGAGTCCTTGCTGGCCTCGGACAGCTCGCTATTTTTCGGGGGTGATGGCATTTGGTACGCAAAAACTAAACGAGTCGAGTCGTTAACAAATCGCAGTGCAACATTGTCATCCTAGAAGAAAAATATAAAAATTCAATCAACCATTTATAATTCAAATAATCTTCTTGTATTTGTTTATTCAGCATACAGTATATCATGTTCTTTCTACATTAATCAATAACTCAAACTTTGAACAAGATACAGAATGTTTCTAAAATTATTTTCATTCCCTTTTTGATGGAATTTGTGCTGAATGTTTTCTTACCAAAATTACTTCACCTCTCACTTTTTCTTTGTGTAACTTAGTTTCTAAACATGTACCAAAAAATTTGATTTAATTCTTTTTCCATATTCCCATATTATCAAAATAACCAGAATTTAAAGAGAAGGGGGTTTGATAATTCACCCTGTTACAACACTAGCCACTGTAACCCCAGGAGGAGATCTGAGGTGCGTGGTTTGATGCTATCTACCCATGGTGGTTTGTGTTTATCAGGAAGCTGTAAAATGGACCAGAGTGTGTTATCATAATTGTGTCCTTAGGTTAGACACTTTAAACCAATTACTCTGGACAGTATCAATGGGCCTCCTGTATGTTGTTCAGTGAAGCAGCTACCAGATACTACCAGAAAATCCTGCCTCAAAATGAACTTGATTGTTCATGGGGTGATGAACCCAATGAATCGAATATGATATATGAATGCAATACAATTAATCTCGAATTACCTTAAACTAAAGATGTGATAAACAGATTTCTCTCAAGTATCTAATATAAACTTTCTCTATGAGTATGGGCAATTGTGTTCTGATAGATGAAAAGAGATTAAATGGAGATATCTTTGGGTCTTCTTGTCCACTCCCCTTTCCACAATTACTTATATGAATATCTAACAATTCATGGAACCAGAGTCTTGACTAGATGTCCCTACAACAGTGACAACTTTGTGCCCCAATCACCAGTCTTGACTAGATGTCCCTACAACAGTGGCAGTTTTTTGCCCCACTCACCAGTATATGTCCCTACAACAGTGGCAGCTTTGTGCCCCACTCACCAGTATATGTCCCTACAACAGTGGCAGCTTTCTGCCCCACTCACCAGAGTCTTGGCTATATGTCCCTCCAACACCTCTGCCATGACAAGGTCCTGGTCTCCAGTGTAGGCCTTAAGTTGTTGTTTGACTGTTTGGATCTTGTCATTTTTGTGAAGTGTCAGTAGGTACTTGGTCGGACTTCCGGAGATTGGCATTACCCATACACCTGTACATAAAAGCAATTATATATTTATCAACCCTTAATCTTGTTGTGAGTGCAGTTTTTAAAATTTTCTCCAAAACTAATTCACTTCTGTTTTTGTTTCTGTAGTTTAAATACCTCATGGAGATTTATTGTTGAATCCTGAATCTGTGAGGAATGCAAAACATCAGAAAGTGTCTCACTTGAGCTCGAAAATATCCAGGTATACTGTCTTCAGAAATTTCATAACAGCGCTGTCTTTACACAATGAATGTGTTAAACAACATAAATTGCATCATGGACTTTTCCACATATCACACAAAAAGAATGAGGTTCAATGCCAAGAGTAGGAACCACACTAAACTCTGTGATTTCTAAAACAGGCAGGACTTACATAATTGTCTCTCCATGCTGTGTGGTAGAGGTATGGATAAGTACATGAAAGGTTCAAAGGTCACCGAAACGTGATTACAGTCAGAGCAAATCACCTGAAATCATAGAAAATATATCACAATATTTACATTTGCATTGCCCATCACTGTGATAAAGCTACATATGTATTAAGTCCAATGTTTTTATTTTCCGATTTTAAACATGACCTAGTATGACCTGGGATCATTTTAATGATCCTAAAACACACTGAAAACTTGGATGTGACCTAGAAGATTGATAATCTTTCACTCACTGCAGACTTTAAGAGGGCCTGGGACTTTGATAATTCATAAATTCATCGTAACTTTAAAGATTACCCCAGACTTCAAGGTGACCTTGGATTTTGATAATCCTTTTATTCATCATAACTTTCCAGGTGACTTGAGATTTCAATCATTCTTTTACGAAATGTGGCCTCTAATTTTTTATCAATCTTTAACTCACTATAAACTTGAAGGTGACTGGGAATTTTGCCAAAGATTTGACTTTAACAAATTACTACTTGCCATAGACTTAAACATAACCTAGGACTTCGATAATCCTTTAACTAACCGGAGACCTAAACCTAACTTCAGACTTTAATCATTCTTTAATACACCATAGACTTAAACATAACCTAGGACTTTGATAATACTTTAACTAACCGGAGACCTAAACCTAACTTCAGACTTTAATTCACTTTAGACATACACATACCCTCTGACTTTGATAATCCTTTAACTCACTGAAGACTTAAACATAACTTTGGACTTTGATAATTTTTTAACTCACCATAGACTTAAATTTAACCTAGAACTTTAACTCACTGTAGACTTAAACCTAAGCTAGGACTTTAACTCACCGTAGACTTAAACATGCCCTGAAATGTGGATACCACTATACTATTATGTCGTTTGATATAGGAATCCCACGCCTGGTCAGCTGCATCACACAGAACGTCTTCTTCATCTTCATCATCATCCTCTTCATCTTCATCTTCTTCTAGTTGCTGGGCCCCAACTGACTCCGAGAGACCAAGAATTGAATTTGACTCAACTTCATCCTCCAGTTTAGCATCAGTATCAGTAGATTTTGGACTATCTGCAATGCTGTCATATCTGTTTTTAAAATCCTGTAATGCTACACTACAAGAACCTTTCGTATCTGACATGTTCTTATTGAGCTTACTGAAAGCCTGGTGCTGGAAATTCTTTTCAGTGCTTTCAAACTTCATTCGTTTTACACTATCGACATCAGGATCAAAACACATTGATTCACTATCGGCGTTTTTCATGGTGGTTTGAGCTGTCATTGATTTCTGTTCAGCGAAACATAGCGCAATCCCAATGGAGGCCTTTTGACATTTGTCAGCTTGAATATTCACATCCTTTAGACCTTTAGGATGGTCGTTTTTATCTACCTCCATAGGAGCCATATCTTGTAATAAATTTACTTCATTTAATCTCAACGGGCTATCATTGTCTTGTTTGGCGAATTTTTGAGAATCTGTGTTGAGTGATTCTCCTCCACTCTCCTTGTCTAGGAGAACATTTGTATTCAAAGTCTTTGATTCTTTGGCATAAAATTGATGCAAGGACGGTAGTGTTTGTTTAAACTCTGTGGAGTTATTAAGCAAAGGACGTAAAGTGGACATGTCCATATTTTGCTGACCAGCAAAAATGAAGTCATTTTTTGAACTAGCATCTCCATCAACGAGGGGAGATAACTGTTCTACAACCTGTTGTTGCTGTGTGATTCTCTCCCCTATTCTGTTTGTAGGAGCTTCACAGCCTGAAAGGTTTTCACCTCCATCTACACATTTCCTTTCAAGAGAGTTATTCAACTGCTCTGAAGAGACCGATTGCTCAAGTGAGTTGTTGAGTTGATCGTTACTTGGCATGGAGGTTAATTCGGCTACTGTGATCTGATCTAGTGAGTTATTTAGCTGGTCATTCTTTCCTGTTGTTGCGGTCAGTTCATTAGCGGATGGTGTTATATATTCTAGCGAGTTGTTCAGTTGGTCCTGTTCACACTTTGGAGTATCTGTTGACGGAAGTGAGCCTTGCCGCTCCATGAAAATAACGTTACTCTTATTTGTTTCCTCATGTAATGTGTCCAGCATCAGGGCCAGGAATTCCTGACAGTCATGCTGAAAATATAACAACCATGATTAACACATTAATCTGCACTGACAGTGGAAAATTGCTGTCATAAAAATGAAGGCAGTCATTAATAAGGTATTTACCGCAAAATGGTCTCTAAAATCTTTTTTATTTACAGCTGAAGTGATTTTGGTGAATGGACTCCAACATGTAAATAGATATGTACAGCTATAGGGCTTTGGAGGAGTGAACTTAAATAAAAATTAAGACATTTACTGTCAATGAATTTTCTAAATTGCCTCAAAAAACAATAAAACAAAAACAAAACAAAAAAGAAAAGAAAATTTAAAGCTGTAAAAATGTTTAAGAAATTGTCTCCAAAAAGAAATTATAAGTCATAGCAAAACAAGAAAAAAAGATTTAAAAGGAAATGGTATCCAACAAAAGTTTATATGTAGATAATGTTAGTTTGGGGAAATGGTCTCTTGTGGTTGGTGTATACTGTCCTGGGCCTTTACCAGCCTTCATTTTTACAAGTACCTGTCTGTAATCCTCAAACTGGTTGTGGAAAGTGCCTAAGCAAGTCTTGAAGTCACCAGGATGGATGATGGCGTAGCTTCCACTCCAATACTTACAGGCTAGCCAGTAAAAGTGGGCTGCTAGTGACTGTCCAAACTTTGTATCACAAGAATACTGGTCGAGGAAATACTTGATGATGGGTGCAGTGTTCATGAGGCAATGAAGTCCAGCGTTCATAAAACATGTGTTACCCAGGTTGTAGATACCACACTGACCAGGTTTAGCTGCAGGATCTGTAATACAACATACCATATTTTAAATGGGTCATATATTTACACAGATCATATATTTACCTGGATCAGATAGTTACATAGATCATATATTTACATAGATCATATATTTACATTGATCATAAATTTACCTGGATCATATATTGACATAGATCATTAACAGAGAACATAAATTTACATGGTCATATATATATATACAAATATATTTACATAGATCATGGTTTATCATATATTTACATAGATCATGTATTTACCTCAGTCATATATTTACATAGATCATGTATTTACCTCAGTCATATATTTACATAAATCATATATTTACATAGATCATATAGTTATGGTATAAATTTACATGGTCACCTTATATTTACACTACTCCCTACTTCGTGAGGAAGATGAATATTGATTTACTACAGAAATTATATTCTTACCTATCTGGTCTTTGCTGTAGTTGGCAACTGATACAGTTGTGTTGTTGTTTGCTGTGGAAATTATATAACAAGAACAGATGTGTTTAAACATAACATATACAACCATGGTTAACGGCGTGATCCTAGTATTATATATAGTGCCTGTACACTGTAAAGCAACTTTAAATTTTTCCTTTTTTTCCTCATAAAAATATAAAATCTACAATAAAACATCAGGATGAATGAATTTCTGAAACCTACTTATGTTAAAGAAGGTCTTCTTTGGATTTTTTTCTAGTTTGTTTTTTTTTTAAAAAAATTTTATGAATAAATTAAAATTTCATGAGACTGAATATTCTAGTTATATGAGTTATGGTTATACAACTGATTTAATGCTTGAAATATTGAACTATATGCTGAACAAGCAACGTAGCTGTAGTCATTTCATCATGAGTGTTTTTATTACAAGAAGTATCTACCGAGGAAAAAAAACCTGGCATCCTAAAAACTTTGCACCATAAACAAAACAACTCTCAGATAATGTTTAGTCTGGATTCATAATCTTTGAACAAGATTTCCTTTTATCATTCTCAATATTATTTCTTTATTATTATTTTTATACTTTGAACATTTTAGCAATAGGTGTATTACCTTGTGTATTCAGAAGAAAGCTAATTGTGAAAAGAAAACTGAAGGACTAATGTTCAAACAGCAAAAAAGTATTTTTTCTTTTGCAAGACACCTCATGAATTAATTGGAAAATTATCAAAAGGGAAGCAATTCCTAAACATTTAATCAAAAATTTTGTTTGTATTGATTGTTGGCATTTTTGCTTACCGGGATTTGGACTGTGATCTGTATCTGAGGTAGCTGGGCCAACAGGTCCTATTGGTAGTGGATCTGGAGAGGTTTCCATGATTTTAACCTCAGACAACTAGAAATAGCTCCGAAACTGACCGAGTCTTCTTCTCACTGTAAGGTAAAGTCAGTTTGTAACTAAGATTAAAACCCATTCTAGTCTTTATTTATCATTCAACATTGTAAACTTTAAACAAACATATTTAGTTAATAGTCTGCCATATTGAAATCTTAATGTTTCTATCTTTTTTACTATGCATAATTGAAATACAAAAAAAAATTGAAAGAGCAAGGAAAATTGACATCCTTGTTGAATGCCTCGACCAGGAATTGGGCCCAGGTCTCTGGTTTGATAACCTTCCGACTCTATCAACTGAGCCAAAGAAACATGCTCCATCAGCTGAGTGACTGAGACCATATTTAACACTAAATACAAGCCACACCAACCCACACCCACAAACAAAAAAAACAAACAAAAATTGCTTCCAAATGGGCAACTTTACGCAGTTTTTAATTTTCTTTCAATATTATCAGCCGTCATCTGAATGTGACAACTAGAAAGTCTATAAAATTTAAGATTTAATGATACAGATTAAGCATACCACAATATACTACAATGCAGAACGACAATATAATGATACCCATTGCTATATTTTGCTTATATTCGTTTCCAGTGAGGACTTATGGAGTTATACATGTAGAGTCTAACCTGTATTAAACAGCCACTGTGGGGAAATTATGAAAGTGGCCTTCATAGAGAGGTGGCCTCTTAATTGCAGTTCCTTATTTTCGAACCCAAGTTGCGGCAATTTGCACATTGATATTTGAATATAGTTTAATAGTCAGGATTGTCACTGTCTTCCTGTACTTGGGAGTTTGTGGTTTGGTCTGAGTTCTTTTGCTGCTTATATTTTTGTAGTGATTTGCCACGATAGTGATAATATGCCTGTATTGTGTATACCAGTGACGTAAATGAAATTAAACTCAATATAGAATGCATGGTGAATTGTGTTTACGTGCCATCAGCTGTTTTCTTTGTAGGAATGTTCACGTGGCGAGAAAACGTGACTCAGAGTCAAGAAAGCTTGTCAAATGACTTGTGGTCAAAACGGCCATTTAAGCGAGGCTCGATCGCAAGTTTGGGGATGAAAAGGGTGGCCACTGGCCGCGTTAGATAGGTGGCCGTTAAATTAGGTATCATTAATGAGTAAAAACGATTGGGAGGGTCTGAAAACGGCTGTTACAAGCAGGTGGCCGCCTATCTAAGGTGGCCGTTATGACAGGTTAGACTGTATATATGTACACCATAAATGCTTGGGACATTTTGGCTGATAGTTCTAAGGTGTCAGTGTTTCCGTCAAAAAATAGCAAAAACTTGTTGTCAATCTTTATTTAAAAATTACCACAAACGTATCTAATATTTACAAAACTAGGGTATTTGATAGTATGATTTTGACCCTTTAAAGTGAGTTTTTTACTCTTGCATTTGAACAAACGACTATTTATATTTTGTCCGAACATACATATGTTTGATTTGACTAGCTTAAGTTGCTATGTCAACAGTCAACTAAAAACACTGTAAACCTTTCTTGTACTCATTAGATGTATATGAAACATTTTGTAATCTTTAGTTTCAATAATCAATAATATCTTTCTTTTAATTCTTCCTGGTTACTTTACAAGAACTGCTACAAATAATTTAATTTAAACGCTTCCTTGATCAGTTAACAGTTGGTAAAACACGTGTCATGTAAACAAATTTAGACCTTCAGGTGCAACTATTGTTTATTTAAGTAAGCACGCAATAACAGTGTCGCCCATAAAAGGTAAAAGAGGTTGCAGGGACAGTTAATGTACTAAGCTGTTACAATGAGCTGACGAAATATGAACTTCCGGTTTCGAAACATAAGGTTCACTCTACATTTATATTTGTCACATTTATGAATAAGTCGATTTTATCAGTTTTTGTCATCAACCAGTTATAGTTAATGCACAGTTATACATAAACCAGATGGTGAGGATTTTATTGAAACGGTCCAGTTTGAAGAAAATAATGTTGTTCATGAAACCATTTTTGGCTTACACGGACAAAATAATTTGTCAATTTTCGTCATTTTTCTACTCTATCGACAACAAAAATGAATGGGGAAACATATCTTTCACTAATGGCTGAACGTACCAGATATCCCACGTTGCAGCTGCTACCGAAATGATGACACGACAGCTAGTATCGTCACATTCTGCTTTCCGTTTTTGTTCAGATGTGAGAACCTCTTTTTTCGGGATTCCCCTCCGGTTCACCGTTCAAGGGACGTCACTCTCACAGAATTTGACGGTATTAGTCACGTTTCTATATAGATAGGTATCGCGACACAAAAGATATGTCAAATTGCAAATTCGTGAAATGAATGTCAGAATATTTTTAATTCATATCGAAACTTCTTAACTAAGCCGTACTTTTATTCACATTTAACACTAGGTCGAACAGTAGATTTAATCAATGGGGAAATTATTTAACAATTATTAAAAAAAATGTTATTTGAACTCGTTACATTACAAGACATTCTAATTCTCAATTACAAAGCATAACTAAAAATAAGGAGTTCGATCAATACTTATATTGAAAATTTTAAACGGTTTCATGTAATATAATAACATACTGATACCCTCAAATTACACCAAACTTATGAGAAATTATTTTTAACAGAAGTCAGACACAAGACGGGAAACTACACCATAATTTCAGAGAAAATTTTGGAGATCGGAGTTAAATCTTTGTAACCTTTGTAAATACTTGCCACAATATTCTGCTAATCAGCCAAAGAAAACTATCTTTAGCTCGATCGGTTGAGTGCACATTGTAAGAGTTGTAAACAAGAGGTCCCGGGTTTGAATCCTATATCGTTGGCATTGGGTGAAAAATTAAATGAATGATCTTTGTTACAACTTGCATATAGTTGAGCGCAGACAAATATTTACATCCTAATTCATTTGCAGTGCACGAGGAAAAGACTACCAGTTCATAAGAAATAGACTACATGTAAACTAGACGTGCACTCAGGTCCACAAAGGTATTGTGAAAAAAATCCTGATATATAATGGTAGAGCGCGTGACCTCCTGGTGTTTCAGCCCAGTGACTATACAACCCAAGGCTACATGAATTTCAACACCACGCAGAAGCAATCTAGACTTCGAAGATGGATGCATTTTATTCTGATATGTAGGAATTACCGAAATTTAAGAATGAAATATATAAAACCATTTTATTGGCGAATTCCTTCCGTGTACACACTTACACAATTGTTTAGTGTCGGTAGCATAAACGATCATCGCAAGCTAGCTAGATATATATTTCAGGCCAATGAAGTACGACCATGATTGATATAATACTTATCATAGCTCATAACTATATTAGCTAGTCCGTGTGTAAATTATAAGATTATGACGAATATACATCGTAGTCATTTTTTGTCACGTTAATAACACTATGTTTTTTTATTACATTTCATATTTTACTGAATACATGTGAAACATGGAGAGAGAGAGAGAGAGAGAGAGAGAGAGAGAGAGAGAGAGAGAGAGAGAGAGAGGCAGACAGATGATGATTTTGATGATGGTTGTGGAATATCATCTGTGTTATATCATATCTATTTACTTATTGTTCTCGTCTTATTTCGATCTCTCCTAACACCAGTCTTGTATTGAAGTGTCAGTGAGAGAGATCACCTAAGCCAACCTAATAATATCATGAACGACAAGAATCAAAGATCGGAATAAAATCTGGCCAGTGCTGAAACAGATTTTCATAATACTGCATTGATAAAATCACTATAAATGGATGTCCATTTATCAATTTATGGATATCCATAAATAATCATAATACACACGGTATGGATTTATGGATATCAATAATTCTATTTCAAGTTTTTGTGAGATTTCTAGCCTTCACTATGACATCAGTTAATTCAATTCAATTAATTAAAAAAATTCAAGTAAATTTAAGACTGATTGAGGTTTTAATTTTTCAAACTACCTCCCTTTCTTCCTAATTTGAGAGCAGAATTGGTCATAACACACCATTCAGGAAAATCTATTACTCGATAGCTATTCGAGATACACAGTAAAGCGATGTATCGATTTGTTGATCTGATAATTTTCTAGACACTCGGAAGGATTTTAATGAAATTCAAAAAACTAATTTCGATGTATAAAGCACATTAAAAAAATAATCTTTTTAAACTGGGCTTTACTATGTGCTTTAAGTATATTGTGTAGTTGGTAATATTCGCAGAGGATTTAATTTTGCTCCATTTTCAGCTGTCAATTGATAATCTATAAATATCCATGAAAACTTGAAAATATAAATATATTTTGATGAAACCTGGGTCTGCAACCTTGGTATTATGGAATCAATTTGATTAAGTTAGAGTTATGGCCCTTCCCTGTTTTATTACTGGTGGACATTGTTGAAATTGGTCACATGACTGTTTAGGTCCGGGGGCCTCTTGTTAAAGAGAAAAAATCGATCAGTTGCTTTATTTAAAAAAAAAAAAAACTAAACCAGCTTCAGCACATGAAAGATGAGGAACACAGGCTCAATTGGTATTTGGATTTCCAATTTTTGCAGCCCTGTTTCTGACAAATTGGAATGATGGCATCAACTGAATGAAAGTAGAATTTTATATGAATTCTGATGCCTGTATAGTTTTGATCAAAATTATTTGAGGAAAAAAAAAATCAGATACACAATGTGACATTGACCTAGGAGAATATGGATGAATTCCATGACCCTGAATATGGGCGAATTCCATGACCCTAAGGTCTTGCATTTCTCTGGAGAGGTAAAATTAACTACTAGATTTTTTTTTCAACATTTTATAAAATTTTGATTTCAACACCAATCAAAAATATTTTGCAGATGGATCCTTGAATCAGCTGACCTTATGTGGATGTACTAGACCTCACATGGCTGCAGTGGTTGTATTGGAGGATCGTGGCTGTAGGTTGCAGTGAGGTACATTTGTACCGAGTTTAGGTATATTTTAATTAATTGAATAATTGGTGGCCTAATAAAAATGTTCAATTTCATCGCGAGGTATGTCAAATAGTGTGAATGTTTTGTTGAAAAATCTTCTTAAATCATTTGTGTGTGATTTTTTTAGATTTTTTGTCGAAATAATCACCATGGTGGTGGAGCATCACCAATTTCACCAAAACTGGTGGGTATTCAATGTTTTTGTTGATAATCTAAAATATTAAATCCTCTCAGAATAGTATTTTACAGCTTATAGTGGAGCAAAACAGAAGGCAAGGAAAAGAGACAGAATTATATCTGGTGAGAACAGCAACGCAAAAGTAGAGCAGTTGCGTTAGGACAGCAAGGATCATGGAGGCGGTGGAATCTTCCTGAACGCAAGATTACATGGACAGACTTGTGGAAAATGGAACCTCTCAGGATATCCTTCATGCTCAGGTCTGTGTATGACACACTGCCATCACCAAGCAACTTGTGTAGGTGGGGCCTTCTGGAAGATCCAGCTTATTCATTGTGCGGTGGAAGAGGTACACCTGCACATATCCTATCCGGTTGTAGAGTAGCCCTCCAGCAGGGACGGTACAGATGGCGTCATGACCAGGTTCTAGCTGCCCTAGCAGATATTCTGGAAAAGGAACGGCGTCAGAAGAGGTCACTGATAGAACCCCATAAAACAACCCACATACAGTTTGAGAGCTGGAGAGAAGGGACCACCAACTGCTACTGCATATCGTGTGAATGTACTCAGCCAAGCACCATCCTGGGAAATGAGAGTAGTCCTCAACAAGCGTATCGTCTTTCCTGATGTAGTGCATACCACTCTGAGACCAGACATTGTGATATGGTCGCAACAGCGCCAGAAGGTCACAGTTCCATGGGAAGAAGGGTGTGATGAGGCACATGAGAAGAAAGCTGGCAAATACCAAGAGCTAGTAGAGCAGTGCAGACAAAAGGGATGGAACACATGGCTGTTTCCAGTAGAGGTCGGTACCAGAGGATTCCCTGCAGTCAGTATGGAAGATGTTCCAGAAAGCGGGACTGACAGGAGCAAAGAGGAAAGCAGCTATTAAGACCTTGGCTGAAAGGGCTGAGAGCATCGTGCTGGCTTTGGTGTAGACGAGATGAGCCAAACTTGAGCCCAGACAACAGCAGGCAGTGATTGATCACCACTGCTGCCCCGCCAACCAGAGGACGTCATGGAATAGGGGTCGAACCGACCGATGATGGAAGAAATCCACCTGACGATGCTGACAACGGAAGGCTCCAGAGCTCCATGTCATCAGTGCCTAACCGAAGCAGCGGTTGGGTTACCATTAGCAGAGAAATCTGTAAGTTCACATTCCATGGTGGTGGAGCATCACCAATTTTACCAAAACTTTTTTTTTTGTTTTACCCCCATCTTTGGTGGTAAGACAATGTTTTTATCAATTAATCAAATATATTCACACTTGTCAGACTTATATATTTGCAGGTCCGGCAGCAGGGAGAGGCCGACCTCGCTGGAAGCCAGCTGGTCGGTCAGGTACATTTTTACCGAAATAGAGGTACGTAGGTTCTGTTCTAAACCTGTTGTAGGAATGAAGTCTATATCGTGTGTCGGATTGAAGTTCTTACAAGGCTACATTCAGACCCTACTGGGAACTCTAGCAATTGGAGGACTGGACGAAGTTGGTTTTTTGATCAGGTCCGCTCAAACTGTGTACTTCTCCAACATCGCAAGTTCCTTCGGCAGGTAAATGACCGTGTGTCGTATACAGATATTTCTCCGAACATGTGGGAATTTCAGTTGGCACGCATTCAGGGGAGAACTCGTTGCCGTCATTGAATTGACCATACCACGGGAGGAAAGAACAGAAGCAGCCCATGAGAGGAAGAAAACCAAATATGAAGAGCTACTGGCAGAATGCAGGGAGAAAGGCTGGAAAACTTGGATCTTCCCGGTAGAGATTGGGTGTAGAGGCTTACCAGCACCATTTTGTTGGAGAATGCTCAGTGTAATGGGTGTTACAGGCTGTACTAGAAGGGCAGTGCAGCGGCTCACCCAGACAGCAGAGAGGGCATCCTGTTGGGGTTTGGATAAAGAGGGACGAGAGTAGCTGGAGACCCACCACCGACGCACAGTGACTGATCACCACTGTGGACCCCCCATCCTGAGTGTACCGAGTAAGGGGTCGAAATACGCGATGAAGGATGGCCTCGGCTGAGGACGTCGGCGAT